AAGCTAACTTGATCAGTGATCATCATTGATCCGTAGCTGAATTTTCAACCAAGCGACGAAGAAAAGTTCGAAAATTTGCATCAATTTGTGCAAATTTTAGCCTGGAACTTGAAACTTTTAAACACGATGTGGATAAATAAATAGAGGAAAGAAAAAACGTATTATCGGCGAAAAAAATCAATTTCACACTCTCAATGAATAGTCTAGATTTTTTTCTTTAAATCTATCCGAGTTATCTTGTCTAAAATTGGGTTACCTTTATAAAGTTCGGCAAAACTTTAAAACATCTCGGCACGAGAGGACGAGGGATGAAATAATCCCATTATTGCGCTTTTATTGGATGTAGTGATTCATTATTTTTTATAACCCGTGTGATACAGAAAAATAAGACTTTCTTTTTCTCCAGCTCTCAAATTCATTTGACTTGCGTCACGGCTGTAAATTGGTGATCGTCAAGGTGATTCCAGGAAGGCGTTTTCCCCGGTAATGAAAGGATGTACCCGTGGGAAACGTCCCCGGGTCCAGAAGGTGGCGAAGAAATGGACCGAATTTCGTACGAATTTTATAGGACTTTTTATATCGTAGTTTCCTTTATTACGACAACCCAAATATTGAAATGCCGTGAAAAAAGAAATTCGATAGACATTTCAATGCGTGCAGACTATTTGACACCATTTGTCATTCTCATTAGATTGAAACAGACATAGAAGGACACGTCGATGCTTACGTTCAAAAAATAATTAACTAAAAAACTAACAACGTAATGTCACAAGTTTTGAAAATAAACTGACACAGAATAACTTATTGACTATTGAGAATGACATATTTTATAAAATTTGTTAGCAAAATGGAAAAAAAAAACATTGCCAGTTTCACAAAAAATTGAATCTTTGAATAAAATCGTTATTTTTAACAAAGTCGTACTGTGGAATTTGTGATAATAGAATTCTACGATGACTTTTTTAACTAAACGGAATGGTATACGTTTATTTTTAATAAAATGGAATTTTATCTACATATTATATTGGGTTGTCCGGAAAGTAATGCAGGATTTTGGTATTAAACAAAAAAAAAGAAACTAGTTACTTTAAAGCAATGTTCTTTAATCAAAATAATTTCCCATACTCTCAATACATTTCTCCCAACGTGTTGGTAACTTATTAATTCCGTCTGAGTAGAATTCAGAATTTTTAGAATTGATAAAGTCAATAAATGCATTTTCCAGTTCCGTTTGATTTTTGAATATTATGTGTTGTAAGTAGTGGTCCAGGTGTCTAAAAAAATGGTAGTCAGTAGGCGAGAGGTCCGGAGAGTAGGGTGGGTGAGGCAAAGTTTCATAGCCAAGCTCCAATAATTTTTGTGACGTTACACGTGACACATGTGGTCGAGCGTTGTCATGCAACAAAATGGGCCCTTTCCGATTGACCAAAGAGGGCTTCATTACTGCCAATTTCTGATGCATGGTATTAATTTGGTTACAGTATGATTCAGCATTGATGGTTTCGCCAGGATTTAAGAAGCTGTAGTGTATTAAACCAAATGAAGCCCACCATACCGTAACCATTACCTTTTTTTGATGAGTTGGGGGCTTTGGAAAATGTATTGGAGCTTCTCCTTTGTCGAGCCACTGTCCAGAACGTCTAGTGTTATCGTAGAGAATCCACTTTTCGTCACATGTAACAATTCTGGCCAGAAATGGGTCATTTTTGTTTCGACAAAGAAGTGATGCACAAACATCAAAGCGCTGATTTTTTTGGCGATCGTTTAATGAGTGTGGAACCCAATTTTCGAGTTTTTTCACTTTTCCAATCGCCTTGAGGTGGTCAGCGACGGTCGTTTTACTGACTTTGAGTTGCTCTGCAAGTTCTCGAACAGTTGTTTTGGGGTTTTCTTCCACCACTGATCGCAGAACATCATCATTAAGAGAGGAAGGCCTTCCACGACCTTCTTCATCTTCAAGGCTGAAATCTCCCTCCCGAAATTTTTTAAACCACCTTTGCACAGTGCACTCATTAACACAACCCTCGCCCCAGACTTGGTTAATGTTTCTAGCCGTTTGGGCTCCGCTTCGGCCGAGTTTAAACTCGTAAAAGAAAATCGTACGAAATTCTCGCTTTGACATTATAAGGATGACTGAATTATTTCCAAGTAGCGGAATGCTACAGAGGTAAACAAACAATATCATTTGGAAGAGGATTAATAAGTGTTGACATTCATACAAATGAGTAATCCTGTAAACGTAAACAGAATATTTTATATAGATTTTTTTTAATGAAAACTTAAAATCCTGCATTATTTTCCGGACAACCCAATAATTATTAACAAAGTGGAACAGCATCTGCCATAATTTTCACAAAGCGGAATGACATCTGCATAATTTTAATTAAGTGGAATGAAATCTGAAATATTTTTCCAGAAAAACCATCTTAGAAAATGACATCTTTTTTTGCCTTTAACAACGTGGAATGTCATCTGCCAGTTTCACAAAAAATTGAATCTTGGAATAAAATCTTCATTTTCAACAAAGCCGATATACAGTGGAATTTGTCAATAGAATCCTATGGTGAATTTTTTAAATTAAGTGGAATGACATAAATACACTTTTAATAAAATGAAATGACATCGACATATAATTATTTTTAACAAAGTGGAATGACATCTGAAATATTTTTTCCAGAAAAAACTCTTAGAATGACATCTTTTTTTGCCTTTAACAAAGTGGAATGTCATCTGCTATAATTTTAAAAAAGTGGAATGACATCTGAAATATTTTTTTCCCAGAAAAAACTATCTTAGAATGACATCTTTTTTTGCATTTAACAAAGTGGAATGTCATCTGACATAATTGTAACAAAGTGGAATGACATCTGCTGTTATTTTCAATAACATGAAATGCCACCTACCATAACTTAAAAAATCTATGTTATGCTTGCAACAATTTTAAATAAATTGGAATGACATCTGCCATAATTTTAATAAAGTGGAATGATATCTGCCGTATTTTTGAACGATATAAAATGGCACCTGCCACAATTTTATAACAGTGGTTTTTTTTATTTTATTTTTATTTATCTTTATTTTTAACAAAGTTGAAATACAGTGGAATTTGTCATAATAGAATCCTATGGAGAATTTTTTAAATTAAGTGGAATGACATTTAATTTTAATAAAATGGAATGACATCTACAAATAATTATTTTGTTATTTTTAATAAAGTGGAATGATATCTGCCGTACAAATGTAAAATGGCAACAATGTAAAATGGCATCTGCCACAATTTTGCGACAGTGGAATAAAAACCTTTGTTTTTAACAATTTTAATTAAGCGGAATGACAAATTTATTTTTAATAAAATGGAATGTCATCTACATATAATTATTTTGTTATTTTTAACAAAGTGGAATGACATCTGACATAATTTTTACAAAGTGGAATGACATCTGCCGTAATTTTCAATAGTATGAAATGCCAGCTGTCATAATTTAAAAAATGTGATATTAAATTTGCCATAATTTTTAAATAAATTGAAATGACATCAGCCATGATTTTAATAAAGTAGAATGACCTCTGCCATAATTTTTGAACAATGCAGAATGACGTTTGCAGTAATGTTCAATTAATTGGATTGACATCTACCGTACTCAATTTTCAATCAAATGAAATGACATCTTTTATAGAAATGATGAAGATGGTTGAGTATTTAGATTCACGCTTTGTAAATGCTAGTCCTACTTACACATTTGTTGATTACAAAACAATTGTAAACAGGTTGTAAACAAAAAATCTGTGAGTAGAACCGTCATTTACAAATGACATCTTTTACGCAAAATGAAATGACATTTTCCTATAATTTTCTATAAGTGGATTCATAGAATTGCATATTTTAATTTTTGATGGAGTAAAATGTATTTTTTGTGTCTAATAAGTGTTATATTTATAATTACTTTCACAAAACGCTAAACATTTGCAATATTACTAAATGGTGAAATTATAGAAAAGCATCTATTAATATCTTCTACTATTTTCAATCGCCACCATTTTACACTCATAGAAAGGCATTGTTATTACCACATCCAACAAAAAGTAATGACATCTGCTATAATTTTCCACAAAATTAAATTCTTAGAATTAGATTTTAAATTGATTTCAGCAAAGTGGATGTGGACGATACCTGCCGCAATTTTCCTACAAAATTGATTCTTTTTTTTTTTCTTTACTTACTTTCAACTTTCAAAATAAATTGAAATGTCTCATTATTTTCATCAAAAATGGAAATAGAAAGGCGTAACTTTTCAAAAATGTTTGGCGATTTTACATTTCATTGAAAATTTTCATGTCAGTTTGTCAAGTTTTCATTTTTATAACATTAACAAATATTGTGTCGATTTGTATTGTTCAAAAAATCTTCAGGGAGTTGTTAATTGCTTGTTTCTCCTCTCTTGTCAAATTTTCAACAATGCCCTAATTGTATTTACGACGAATAGGTTCATTGTCTCCAATGACTCAACGCCCGAAGGAATAAATCATTTTTTGATCTTGATCGATTTTTTTTTTTTTTCTGGACGGTATAAACAACTGGCATAGATGGTCCTAGATATCCCGGGACAATTACTTGTGATATGCTGTTATTATCCTGGAGATAATAAACGTGAGAATTTTTTAAAAAGAGACCGATTCTGACAAATTAAACAAGATTGACCTTCGATGTCTCTCTCTCCAATGCGTAAATGTCGACTCAAAATCACGACAATCACTGGTGGGCATCAACAATTAATGATTATGGATTATTCATGGTATGAGATGTGTCGAATTCCTCGATTGAGAGAAGGTGGAATTTTGAATAATTCAGAAACTTTTTCTAAAGATTTTCACAACTGCGGTGCTACTGCTAAATAAAAAATACCGTGGGATTATCATATTATTTGTATAATAAAATTATTATTTATATCCCCCCATTTGTTTAAATGAAAAATTTAAATTGTTAACTGAACTATTTACAGGGAGAGGAAGATAAAATGTGGCTGACCACTGGGGAGGCTTCATGGCTGTCGGCCGAGGACGTGGCTGCACGGCTGCGGGTCGACCTCAGGACCGGCCTTTGGGGACTGGAGCCCGATCTGCGCAGACACATTGCCGGCGTCAATGAGTTCTCAGTCAAAGAGGAAGACCCCCTATGGAAAAAGTACATTGAACAGGTAGAACAATTTCAACGTGCTGTCCAAAATCTGGATTATAATATTCTTTCTTAAATTCAGTTTCAAAATCCTCTCATCCTGCTCCTTCTTGCCTCGGCATTTGTCAGCGTCTGCATGAAACAGTTTGACGACGCAGTCAGCATCACCGTCGTAAGTACTACAGTTTAAAAAAAAATTGATTCAAGAAACTAATTTTTTTTTCCTGCAAGGCCATTATAATCGTCGTGACCGTGGCGTTCATCCAGGAGTACAGGTCGGAAAAATCGCTGGAAGAGTTGAACAAACTGGTGCCGCCTTCATGTCACTGGTAATTTACAAATCCATTTAACACCGTTGAAAATTTGACCTTTGAGTATGAGGATGAAATGACCATGATCAAATCATCCGGGGCTAACATGTACAAAGTTATATATCCAGATAGTTGGATTAGGTATTTATTTTGTTAAATATTTATCATTGAGAAAAAATCAAAGAGTTATTTTATTAATTTGAATGGCCATTTCTGTTTATTTAAACATATTTAATCAAATGAATAATTGTTTATTGTTTTCTTTATTATTTATAAACTTTGTACAGGTTATCTCACCTTCCACTTGAGAAGCTGGTGTTATTTTTTTATTAAAATAAGTTATAAATTGCAAACTAAACACAAATATTTTATACAATTTGCATTCTCAGGTAGAATTCTCAGTTGTTACATTAAATTGAAATTGTTCGGATTTTAGTGTGAGAGGAGGTGTTCTCGAGTCGTTTTTGGCCAAGGAACTCGTTCCAGGTGATATCGTCCATCTAAACATAGGTGATAGAGTTCCAGCAGATTTAAGACTTTTTGAGGTGAAGTTTTTTTTTAAATTTCTTCCCCCACAGGGAACAAACTGACAGGTTTTACTTTTAGGCTATTGACTTGGCCATAGATGAGAGCAGTTTTACAGGCGAGACTGAGGCGGCGGTGAAAAACACTGCCCCGGTGCTTAAGTTGAATGGTCATACGTCCATGACGAACATCGCTTTTATGGGCACGCTCGTCCGATGCGGAAACGGAAAGGTATTGAATTTATTTTATCCCCTTGGTGGTGTTTATTTATATTATTTCTAAACCAGGGAATTGTGGTGAATACTGGAGAAAAGTCTGAATTCGGCGAGGTGTTCAAAATGATGCAGTCAGAAGAAGCGCCAAAGACGCCTTTGCAGAAATCGATGGACAAACTTGGCACGCAGCTCTCGCTTTACTCGTTCGGCATCATCGGCCTGATAATGGTGCTCGGTTGGCTACAAGGCCGTCCGATTCTTGAGATGTTCAACATCGGCGTCAGCTTGGCTGTCGCAGCGATCCCAGAAGGCCTGCCTATTGTTGTGACAGTCACCCTCGCCCTCGGAGTCATGAGGATGGCTAAACGAAACGCAATAGTCAAGAAACTCCCCACTGTGGAAACTTTAGGTAAACCTAAAACAATTAAAAAAATAATAATAATAATACTCTGTAATCTTTTTAAGGATGCGTGAGTGTGATATGCTCTGATAAAACTGGCACGCTGACTAAAAATGAAATGACTGTGACAATCATAGTCACTTCGGAAAATTACGTAGCCGAAGTCACCGGTGCTGGTTACAACGATAACGGTGAGGTTATTATTCGCGACTTTGATGGCAGTCTAGACACCGCAAAATTTTCAATCTACAGATTACTCGAGGTTTGTATCATTCAATATAATTGGTTTTGAAATATTCACGAAGTCATTAATGAATCTGTCATGGTTGTGATATGTTCACCTTAATTGAGTCCTTAATGGATATATCATACTTAATTATCAGTTTAATGTCAAATGGATTATTTATTGTTGACAACTATTTTTATTTTGTCAGGCCGGTGTTTTGTGCAATAACGCTGTGATAATCGGTGAAACTCTTCTTGGACAGCCGACCGAGGGTGCTATACTCGCAGCTGCTATGAAAGTATGTCCAATAACTAAAAATTTGACAATATGAGGAATAGTTTTATAGCAGTTTTTTAAATATTGCTCTTTAAACCTTTCAGCATGGAATGTATGGCATATCAGATAAATACGTTCGTCTTCAAGAATATCCGTTTAGTTCGGAGCATAAGATGATGGCTGTGAAATGCGTCCCTGTAGAAGGGGTGAATATATTTTTTACTTATTTATATATTTAAAAAACAAATTAACATTGTTTTTTAAACAAGCAGGCCAGGAAGGAGATATACTTTGTGAAAGGAGCGCCCGAATTGATAATCCAGCAGTGCAGCAAGGTTCTCAGAAAGGATTACGTCTGCTCCTTGACCCCTGCATATGCGCAAGAGTTGCTCAACGTCGCCCACGAGGTAGAGAGGAAAGGCCTGAGGGTGATTAGTATGGCCAGGGGCGATTCGTTGCAGGACCTCGTGTACCTCGGCATTGTCGGGATCTGTGATCCGCCGAGGCCTAATGTGACTGAAACGATAAACACTTTGAAGCAGGCAGGTGTAAAGGTGAAAATAGTCACAGGGGATGCGCAAGAAACAGCACTCTCAGTTGGTAATTATAATTTAACTTTAAAATATTAATACAATTTTTAAAAAAATGTATTTTTTTATAGCGCAAATGATAGGATTGGATACTGTCCACCATCAGTCTTTATCTGGCGATGAAATTGATGCGATGGGCGAATGCCAACTTGACCAGGTGATCAACAACGTCTCAGTGTTTTACAGAGTCACCCCGCGCCACAAAGTCATGATCGTCAAGGCGTTCCAAAGAGCTGGAATCGTCGTCGGCATGACGGGTGATGGCGTCAATGATGGTGTCGCCCTTAAGAAGGCAGACATCGGCATCGCCATGGGTAAAAATGGCACTGATGTCTGTAAAGAAGCAGCTGACATGATACTTGTTGATGATGACTTCAACACCATAGTGTAAGTCGTGCTTCTTGTTTGATCAGAAATTTAAATTAAAAAAAAATAAAAAAATATTACAGTGCGGCGATTGAAGAGGGAAAAGGGATATATTACAACATCAGGAACTTTGTGAGGTTCCAGCTTAGTACGAGCATCGCCGCTTTGTCTTTGATCGCATTGGCGACCCTGTTCAGAATACCCAACCCTCTGAATGCTATGCAGATTCTATGGATAAACATAATCATGGACGGGCCACCGGCGCAGAGTCTCGGAGTCGAACCCGTTGACAAAGACGTCATCAAACAAGGCCCTAGGAACGTCAAACAGCCCATGATCACAAAGCACTTGATTGTCAATGTATTACTCTCAGCTTGCATAATCATTCTTGGAACCCTCTGGGTCTTCAAAAGAGAGGTAATCAATCTGAGTTCATGTTCAGCTTTGAAAAAAAAATCTGAAATTTGGTTTTGATCATGGTTGAGAGTATATTTTTCCTTTAAATTTAATTTGCCTGTTTTCAGATGAGCGACAACAAGATCACGCCAAGGGATACAACTATGACATTCACTTGCTTTGTATTTTTCGACATGTTCAACGCCTTGAGCTGTAGATCACAGGTAATTCTCTTTTTACCATTTACAGTCAAACTTCCCGAGGTTAAGGTAAAACGAATCGGTCCTGTATCCTCCAAGCCTCAGCTTGTCCTCTCCCAGAAAAAAAGGGAAATTTATCAGACTGACATAAACAGTCAACATTGTTTTTCCATTTTCTTATGCTTGGGCAACACTGTCGGCAACACTGATCAAAATGCCATTCTATTGATTCATGTTCTACTTTCACATAATGTACCTAATAATTTTTTCTATACATGGACCCTCCTAATAAACAGACAAAATCCTATTCTCAAGCAGTGTGCGTTTTTGGGAAACTCAACTGCATTAATATTTAAATAATTTTAATTTTTTTCAGACGAAATCAATTTTTCAAATTGGATTATTTAAAAACAGAATGTTCCTTCTGGCGGTATTGTTCTCAGTCGTTGGTCAACTCCTCGTCATATATTTCAAGCCTCTTCAAACCATATTTCAGACTGAAGCGCTTACACTATATGGTCAGTATTATTATTATTATTATTATTTTTTTTAATAATCAATTGAAATGTTTGTAGATCTTGTATTTCTTATCTGCCTCACGTCGTCCGTATTCATTGTCTCCGAGATAAAGAAGTTCGTTGAACGGCTCATCGAGTCGAGTGGCAAGTCGCCCCATCTGAACATCGAGTTCGTATGACATGCGAAACCCCCCAGGGGTAAAGCGAGAGTAGACTAAAAACAACAGAGAAAAAAATAACGAAAAGAAAAAGAGAGAGAATGAAATCGTGAGGGTCACCTCCGCGATCCCCCATTTTGTTTTCCTTCTTTTCTTTTTACGTGACGTGAGCGCGAATTGGAGCACCGGAAAACGGAAGGCGTCCATGATACGAAGGTCTTCATCCGTGTATAACCCAACGCAAACTGCATCATTTTATAATTTTTCTCTTCTTTTTTTTTTATACATATATAATTTATTTTTGTACATTGTCTTCTGCCTGTTTAAAATTTTTCTTTGTTTTAATTTTTACTGCTGTGTCATTCCAATATTTATTTTGTAATCTTTGTGTTTATTTCTTTCACTTTAGATTATAATTAAATAATTTGATTTATATATTTTTTTATTATTATTTTTTAACCTTTTTCTTTTCTCTTTTCTTTTTCTTATCCTTAAATGCTTACTGTCCATGTCTTAAACTAACATTTTTTTTTTGTATTTTACTTTGTTTGATTTTTTTTAAAAGTTTGCTTGGGGAGTGAACATCTGTCGTCACGAATATCTACTCTACCCTGGGAGGTCATTGAATTGGACAATTTTGAAAAAAATATTTTGGAGAAAAAACTCTTCTTGTGGTCGGTTTACGGCCTTGTTTTCTTTTCATTGCTGGTGTGTGAGCTTCAAAAAGTTTATTGTTTAAAAGGAAAAACTTTTTTGTTTTGAATAATGAGTAAAAACACAAAAAAAAAAGAGCGTTTCAGTTTTAAAAAACTATCACGTTTGTTATTTATTGTAACAGCACTGATTTGTTACTCAAGCTTTACACTTTTTCCTTTTATTTTGTATTTTCTTGTCTAAAAACAAGTGCTTTAAAAAAGCTGTTCTTTGTTTTTAACGAAACACTGACACGTTTTTAAACAATTTTTTTAGTTAAAAAATGTTTAAAACTAAAAGTTGTTTAAAATTTAAAAAAAAAACCTGTTATTCGCTTAGAAACCTTTTAAAAACGATTGTTCTTTGTTTGATCTGTTAAATATTGCATTCTTGTTTTAAGTTATTTGGTGTTTTGTTGGTTTTTGTAGACAAAAAAATATATAAAGCCGTCAAAAGCATGCGCACGTTGAATGCAGGTGGGTTTCTTCTTTTCTCACCCCCTTGTAAGAGGTCGGATGTTATTTTAATTTTTCATTGCACTGTGATAAAAAAGTTGCCCTACATTTATCCTCAAGCGAGTTGGTAAAAAATATTTGTTCGGGGGAGGGAAGAAACCTACAGTTAAGCATACCACAAGAATAAAACGTACAATTTAGGAGCATGGTTTTGAAAATTAAAAAAAAATTATATATATAAACTTTTAAAAACTATAATGTAAAAAAAATGTAGTTCTTTATAGTAATTAGTCATTAGAAGAGATTTTTATTTTGCAGTCTTTTCTACAACCAATTGTAATAAGTGTCTATGGGTTACGGAGGCGATTTGTCACCGACTCACTTCACCTTGACAAAGAAAAGATTGCAAAAAAAATTCGTTTTATAACAAAGTGACCACAAAAAAGAACATTTCTAACATTTTATCATTGATTATTGTGAGAAATTCAATATGAAGTATACTTTAAGCTGTAACCCAGAATCATAATCCTGTATGTTTTATTTATTTATTTTTAATCCAAAAATTGTTTAATATTGAAACAAAAGTGGTTTTGTCGTTTTCCATCATCTTTGGTCTGCCTGTCCGCACTGATAAGGTCTGAAAACTTGCATGTATGCACAAAAACAGTGGGAATTAGGTTAAAAGAACCATCTCTAATCAGCTAATTCTAAAAAATCCTTAACCATCTTTAACAGTTAAAAGCACTATTCTTACCTATTGTAAACCATTCTTAACCTTTAACCTAACAATCTAACAATTTTTATTTTTCCAAACATCACTTGCTATTTTTAACCTTTTTATCCACCTCTAACCATTCTTAATCATGTAAGCAGTGTAAAGGAACTATCCATAACAATCATTAACCATCTATAATAAGTTAAAGGAAACATCCTTAACCAACTCTAACCAGTTAAAGGAACCATCTCTCACAAGTTCAATAAACCACTCCACCAAAACTTAACCATCTCTAACAAGTTAAAGGACCTGTCCCACCAATCCTTAACAATCTGTAGCCATTTTAACCCATTCATAGCCATCTCTAGCCAATATAAAGAACCATCTTTAACCAATATTAACCATCTCTAAACAATACAAAGAACAAAGACTTTACCATCTCTAGCCAGTGAAAAATTGTAGGCACTTTTATCCAATGTTAACCAACTGTAACAAGTTTATGGAACCATCTCTAGCAACATAAGGACATAGTTACTAACCATTTCTAACATGTTAAAGGAACCATGCCTTACCATTTTTAACCATACTTAACCATTTCTAACCACTGTAAAGAACCAAATCTTAGCCATCTCTAACAAGTTAAAAGCACTACACCTAACCATAACCAGTGTAAAAAAAAATCAATCCTTAACCATCATTTCTTACAAGTCTGTGGAACCATCTTTAACCAGTGAAAGGAACCATCTGTAGGCATTTTTACCCATCCTTAACCAGCTCTAACAATTTCATGAAATCACCTTTAACTAGTTAAAGAAACCATCTCTAACCAATATAAGGAAATAGTTGTTAACCATTTGTAACAAGTTAAAGGAACTATCCTTAACCATTTTAACCCATATATAACCACTATAAAGAACCAAACCTTAACCATCTCTAACCCTTCATATCTAACCATAACCAGTGTAAAGAATCAATCCTTAACTTACAAGTTTATGGAACCATCTATAACCAGTTAAAGAAACCATCTCTAACCAGTATAAGGAAATAGTTGCTAACCTTTTCTAACAAATTAAAGAACCATACTCAACCACTTTCAATCACTAAAAAAAACCATAACCATCTCTAAGAAGTTAAAGGAACCATCCCTAACCTATCTATAACCAGTACAAAGAATCAATCCTTAACCACATCTTACAAGTTAAAGGAACCATCTCTAACCAGTTTAAAGAACCAATTCACAACCATCTCTAACTATTCTTACCTGTCTGTAACCATCTCTAACATGTATGACCAATACCCATCATAAAATTCATATCTAACTAGTTAAAGGAACTATCTGTAACTATTCTTACCCATCGTTAGTACTCTCTTATCCATCCTTAATCACGATTAGGCAATTAAAAGAACCATCCTTAACCATCTCAATAAGTTAAAGGAACCATCTTTAACCATACTTACACATCCCTAAATCAAACTCTAGCGACATATGATATCCAACCATTCTTCACAAACTATTCCCTGATGATGGCAGAGTTTGACAGACCATACAGATGAGGACTGGCAGATCAGGGTAATGGTAATTGATCAAATTTACAGGTCCATCGTCCTGCAGACCTCAATGAGAAATATCCAACAAAAAGTGTGCTTGGGCCTTTCATCCTGTTCCAGCACTGATCGTATCTTATTTACTGTTTTGGCCTTAATAGGTGGTTAACTTGGATGAGTCGAGATTTCCCATTTCTTCAAAATAAACTGAACCTGTCATGTTATTATTGATGTATATCGACTTTGAACGTCTGACTTGCATCTTGTTATTGAGAGACCTGTAACCGATTTTCCTAAATCTTTTATAAATAATATAAAACAAAAAGTAAAAAGAAAGAAATATAACAAGTGAACTTACCTATGAATGTCTATTTATTTACCTTCTTATTTTTGCTCTGCAGTTTGAGAATGATGCTTATTCATTTTGATTTGATGATGAATCTGTCTAAATATCATCGTATGTGAAAAGGGCCCAATAAAACACTGATTTTTCATTCGAGTAAAAAAAGAAAAAGAAAATACTCTATTCATCAGAATATCACAAAAATCATTACATACATGTAAGGCTGTACAAATAATAAAATTGACATTAAATTTCATTTTTGTAAAAGGGGAAAAGTGTGTTTTGAAAATGCGCCCTGACAAGGAATTTTGTACAGCGTTCTTTTAAAACAAAACGCAAGAAACTCTTCAACCGTATATGGCTAAAATATAACAAATCACAGCTATTCAAAAATTCCATAAATCCATTGAATTTATGTACAATTTTATGTACAAAAGATAAGCCGAGAGAAAAACAAAATTTCATGTTATATGTATATAAAAATGGTCTTTTTTGGCCTGTTATTTGTTTTCTTTGGGAAAATCCTCATATGATTATTGTCCCTGAGATCCACTCGCTGTGGTACCGGATGTGTCGGAGGCGATATCATACTTCTTGTCTCTTCTCCTCCTCGAAGGCTCCCTTTCCATGTTCGAAGCTGCCATGGGCTCTTCTTCTTCTTCCTCTGCTATCGAGCTGTTCTGGATCCACTGGCGTATCCTGTCCTTCTTGCTCTTACGGTCAACAGTCGTTTCTAGGCCGTACTCCATGAGCGTGGAGAGGAGTACGTTTTTCTCTTCGAGGCTGCTGTGGAAGCTGTACATTGAAGGACAAAGTAGTTCGTCTTCACGTTCATCTTCTAAAACAACAAAATATTTAAGACAAAAACCCAACAGAACGAACAAAAATATCCACCTGTGCGATCGCTTGAAGACTTGGCGAGCCATCTCTCCTCAAGGTACCTGGAGAGTTCGCACACGGCCGGCGGCCGTTTTTCAGCCTTGGGCTCCAGGAGCTTTCTGAACCAGCGTTGCGCTTTAGAAGAGAGCATTTTGAACAGTTTGGGCTTTCTGACTGGCTGGAGGACGCCGGCCGAACCATGCCAGTACAGGTACCTGGCGTACCTCGGATCATCCATGGCCGCCTTCTGCCACGGCAAGCAGCCAGTCAGACATACGAATATAACTATGCCAAATTGCCAGACGTCATGGCATGTCTCACATCTGCAAAATTCCATTCCATAATTAATCATTTTACAGAAATTTAATAAATTCTTATAAATGCTGTCAGAGGTTTTTTCTCTTTGTATGCACCCTGTTAGCTATCAATCTGTTTATTTGATTATATGTTTAACTTTGTAACTATCTACTATTCATAATCAAGCTTCTCACTCACTTATAGACCAAATCTTTCATGCTTTTTGTGTATATACCTATCTTATTTCTACATATCTATATTATTTTGCATTCTCTCATTTTTTCTCTGACAGAATTTCCTTATTTCTTTCTATTCCTTGCAATCTCACATTCTTTAGCTTCTCTCTCTCTCTTACTACTCTCCCCTCACTCTCTTTCTTTAGCACCCCTTCCCTCATTCTCATTCTCTCTCTCTCTCCCTCCCTCTCTCTCTCTCACTCTCTCTCTCACTCTCTCTCTCTCTCTCCCTCCCTCTCTCTCTCACTCCTCTCCCTCCTCTCCCTCCCCCCTTTTATCTCTCTCTTTTTATTTCATGTTATATTTCCATCAAACTTGTCATTTTCAATTCTCTACAGTGGTTTTTTCTGTCCACCCATCCCCACTACTCGCTCACTCTCTCTCATTTTCTCTCTCATTCGCACTCTCTCTCACTCCCATCTCTCTTTTTCTCTCTCACTCACTACCATCTCTCTAACCCTCTCACTCACTCCCACGTCGCTAACTCTCTCTTACTTCCCTCCCCTCACTCTCTTTCTCTCTCACTCCCTTCCCTTTTTTCTTTCTCTTTCTCCTCCTTCCATCTTTCTCTTTCACTCTCTCTCTCTCTCTTTCCCTCTCTCTATCTCATTCCTTCCCACCTCTCTAACGCCCTCTTACTCCGCTCCCCCCACTCTCTTTCTCTCTCACTCCCTTCCCCCTTTTTCTTTTTCTTTCTCCCTCTTCCCTCTTTCTCTTTGACTCTCTCATTCTCTCTCTCTCTCTCTGTCTCTTGCTCTTTAAAAAAGCTCATCTTACTTGTACTCTACGTCGACAGGGGTGGCCAAGACTTCGGGCGGTGAGTATGGAATCCATTCGTTTCTCCTCATGACCGGGGTTCGCGCCCTCCTCGTCTCGCCGAAATCGCACAGCTTGATCCTCGAGAAGTCCGACTTGAAGACCAAAATGTTGTCCAGCTTCACATCCCTGTGGACGAGGTCGTGGGCGTGAATATAGTCTAGTCCCGCCGCTAACTGGAACCACCGAGAAAGAAAAAATCTTTTGCTTTATCGATTGACGTTTTATCAGGCGCCGATTAGGCTAAACCGTCAAGAAAGATCCGTCTTGCGTACGTGACAACCAGCGCCTTGAAACCGATTATGAGTCGAAAAGGTCCTACCTGCTTTGCGACTTTTTTGGAATGAATCTCACCGATCCCAGTCTCTGATATATTCGAGGTGAGATCGCCAAGAGGAGCGTACTCCTGAGAGAAGACGTAGAAGCCTGCAGTCTCGAATGCGACGTCGTATGTTGTTATTATGTTTTTATGCGCCGCGAGCTGGAGTCCGTAGTGGAACTCCCTGAAGAAGTCTTTTATAGTCACGTAAGGCTTCGGAAGGGCTTTCAGGACCATTTCGGTGTCCGTCACTCTGTGCTCCACGAGAAGGATCTTCCCGAACCATCCTTCCCCGACTATCTGCAAGATGTCGAACTCTTCCGCCAAGTTAATCTATACAAAAAGAAAAAAAAATATTGTAGATAGATTTCATTAGGCTCCCTATCCGATGGAACTTTGCCAGGGGTATTTTCAATTTTTTTAACTTTTACGATTCTCTTTATCATCCCTTGGCTAAAATCCTTTCTTAATAAAGCGTACAAAGTCGTTTCCCCGGTTGTTTCTAGTCGTTGATCGGCTGAAATATTCACGATTTGTGAGATTATTTTCAAATAGGAAATGAGAAAATATAGTTGAAAAGGAGCGAATTGGTTTTTTTGCATAATGTTTTAACAGGTTGTAACGTTTATTTTTCTCGAACCGTCTTTATATAAGTGTCGTCATCAGAAGTGGACGAAAATGTTTCAATATGTTGTTAAAATGATTTGACAAAACTGATCGTACTTGCTTCCGGTTTCGGAAATAGTGCCAGGACTCGGAACGTTTGTCAAACTGGCAAGACAGGGCGGCATATTTGGAATCCAATTCAGGTTCTCCGAGAAAAAAAGTCACATATCTTCTCAAGAATATTACACTTTCTTGGTCAATCTTAAAAAACTGAAAATTACCTTCGAAAGATGGTCTTTTTTGGTTTGAAACATCGATTTTCCTTTTCTGTCTTATATTGAATATTTGAGCAAAATACTAAAATGATCTTTTTAGCTATTTAGAAATTTCTCCTCTCTTCATATATGTGCATATTGCATATAAAACATATATCACTATTTCTTCCCTCCATGTCCAATCTCCTATGGAATCCGCTGATTCCGGAGAGTTTTTATACTATTATATATAATTGTTGAATTTTATCAATTATCAATTAATTTTGTTTAGAAACGTTGAATGTGGATGTTTGTAGGTAAATAACAATTTCCTTTGCTTCGCCCTAACTCTTCCTTGCTCTCTACCAGCCTATCCGACTGTCATTTTACCTCTAGGTCGTTTTATATTTATTACATTAGGCGTTAAAATTTTACAATGATTCGGCTACCCGACAATTGGACCTTGTTACACATTTATAAAGTGTCATATATAAAGTTAGGAGAGAAGGAGAGAGAGAGAGAGAGAGAGAGAGAGAGAGAGAGAGAGTGGAAAAAGAAATGGAGCGCGAAATGAGGAGAGTGGCGAGTAAAAAGTGAGAAGGGAGTTGAGACGAGAGGAACCAACAAAAAAAGAAGAGACAGGGGTCAGTGAAAAGAAGAGAGAGAGAGGGAGAAAGAAAGCGAGAGTGAGAGATGGAAAGGAGACAGAGAGAAGAGAGAGAGAGAGAGAGAAGGTGGGTGGAGAAAGAGAGAGAGAGAGAAGGAGAGAGAGTGTGTGAGATGGAAAGTAAACAGAGAGTGAGTGAGTGAGAGTTGAAAGGAGACAGAACGAGAGAGAGAGAGAGTGAGTGAGAGATGGATAGATATATATAGAAAGGAGACAGAGAGTGGGAAGAGAGATGGAAAAGGTGACAGAGAGAGAGAGAGAGAGAGAGAGAGAGAGAGAGAGAGAGAGAGAGAGAGAGAGAAACAGATATAGAGAAAGTTAATAAGATCAAGAGAGTGACCGAGAGAGGAAGAGATTTAAAGGGAGGGTGGAAGAGAAAGTTGAGACGAGAGGAAACAAGAAGAAAAATAATGACCCAGTGGTCAGTGAAAAGTAGAGAGAAAGAGAGAGTGAGAGAAAGAGTGAATAAGAGATGGAAAAGAGACAGAGTGAGACTGAAAGAGAACGGTATTAATTGTGACAAAATGCGAATTGTTAATATTGAATGCGAATTCAATAAAATAGAAATACTGCAAATAAATACTTATGTAAATATCTTATATAGATAAATAGGCGCCTCACATATTTGTATTCTGTCCTGAAACGGAAATGAATTTAGCACTTTTTAAGGAAGATGCTCGCCATGTGCAAAATTCAAAATTTTAAAATTTTGTGCTCAAAAGGTTAACACAAAGGGAAAATTATATGGGTTTTTAGCCTAATGCTAGTGCTGTTTATTTGTATTATTTTACAATTTCGGCAGCTTTTTAATGTATGTGCATATATTTCTATCTATTTCCTTGTAAAACGAGCCGAATTAGGCCACTCCTGTTTACATTTGGCCACTGGAAAAATCGACATAAAACAAACGACTCTCGGTCGAGGCGGGATCGACTCCGAGCCAGCTCTATTTTTAATTAGCCGGCCCCTTTTTCACATACGGGGGCGAATATCACGGCTTTTTAACCAGAAATTCTCGGATCTCGGATCAGGCTAATCCGCGTAATCCGTTGTCGTCTTGTTCGAAGTCTTGCCCCTTTAAGAAATTCATCGGGCCGACGGCAGTTTTGTCAGGGTTCACCGGCCATGCTATTTTTACGCCCTTACTAACAGGCTTTTTTCCCCGCTGTGACAAAGAATAACAAGCTTAGTTGATGACAAACAAAATATGACAAGATATTTGGCTTGATGTCATTTCGACCTGGGCAAAATACCTCTTCGGCTTTGTTCAATTCTAACTTTTGTCCATATCGCCATCAATCAATTAAAATAATTTAGAGAAAGAACGCTGTAACCTAGGAAAATAACATGCACATAGACGCAACCATGCACACACAAAATTAACTAGCGAGACAAGTCTGACCAGAGACAATCAGTTTTTTTTTTCTTAAAATATCCAACAATAATTATCATGTCATTATCAGCTTATCTTTTTATCTATCATTTTATTTACTGTTCATAGTCTCACACACACATAGTCGCGCACCATTAAAAATGTACTCTATTTCACAAACTACATCTTTCATTGACTTTACTTTATTACTTCTATTTCTCTCCTCTTACTCTCACTCTCTCTCTCTCACTCTCTTTTTTTGTTTTTTTCTTCCCTTTTTCTCTCTCTTTTTCTCTTTCTCTCTCTGTCTCTGTCTCTGTCTTTCTCTCTCTCTCTCTTTTTCTCTTTCTCTCTCTCTCTCTCTCTCTCTCTATCTATCTATCTATCTCTTACTCACTCTCTTTATTTTTTCTCTTTCTCTTTCCCTCTTCTCTCTCTCTATTTCTCTTCCCCCCTCTCTCTCTCTCTCTCTTACTCACTCTCTCTATTTTTCTCTTTCTCTTTCCCTCTTCTCTCTCTCTCTTTCTCTTTCCCTCTTCTCTCTCTCTCTCTCTTTCTCTCTTACTCACTCCCTCTCTCAAACTTTCTTTCTCTCTCTCTCTCTCTTTCTATTACTCACACTCTCTCTTTCTCTTAAACTTTCTCTCTCTCCCTAAGAAATTAAAATAAAGACATAACAAGTATATCAAAATGGAGTCGTGGATTAAAATTGAACCCAAACAAGACTTCATGCATAATATTAGGAAACGCTCGACGTATCAACCAAATAAATAAAAATGCCAAAAATAAAAATAATCTTGTAAGAATAGAACTAAAATTAAAAAAAAAAGTAAAAAGTCTTAGTGTTCACATTTCATCAAATTTAGATTGGCAAGAACAAATTGATGTCGTTAGACAAAGAGCACATGCAAAAATTTATACTATAAATAATTTGTTAAAATATAAAACTATCAACCTAAAACTTCATTTATACGAAAAGTTAGTAAGACCATGTTTAATGTACTTTACAAATTATAACAATATAATGATTTTACAAAAAAAAAATTAAATACTCGTGTAAAATTCATAATTTATCTATAATGACAGAATAGATGATAAATTTTAAGTACTAAGTACATATTTTAAAAATGGAAGATCTTCAAAATTTAGTGCTTATAACTTTAATAAAGAAAAACAGTAATGATAAAAGAACCACAAATTATAGCTAATCAAATTATATTCTTTAATAGTTTCTTTAATAAAAATATAAGACGTTATTCTAACAATATAATTATACCAAGACAGAAGAACAAAATTTTACCAAAATTCGTTTATCATAAAAAGCATATTGTTAGACAGGGTGTCCTTTTTAGATGGGGCGGCTGAATTTCTCTTCAACCAATGACGCTATTAAAAAAACCAAAATACACGTTTAATATTTTTTAGTCCAGTTTTAAATTTTTACCTTTTTGGAGGGAAATTATACAGGGTACCTCAGGCTTAGTTCAACTTCAAATTTTCAAATACTACCCTGTGCATCTTTTTAAAGAAATTTTTATTCTTAATCGAATTTTAAATTGGTCAAAAAATGACAGTTTGGCAAAACGTTTGAAAAAACGGATTTCGTTTGTTTCCCCAGAAATTTCCTGATCGCCCCAGAGTAAACCAGAAAACGTTTATTCGTGTTGCTCGCAATATGAGGAGATATTGATCAGTTGCTGTTCCATCACCAAGAAACCGGCATCGTAATTTGGACGAGGAGGTGAATATTTTACTGTATCTTCGCTAAAATCCGAATTCCTCCCTCAGAAATGTCGGAAGGGTTTTAGGCTTTTCCAAAAATTAAATTAGATATGTACTCCGGATATATAATTTTAAGCTATCGCTCTCATGTTGTCCAGGGACTTCGGGACTTTGATTATGAGGCGTCTAACATTCCTAGCACAAATGGCGATTTGTGAGGCTGAAGAAAACGTTCTTCCATAATCCTATGGACTGATGAATCTAAGTTCATCTCTAATGGCATACTAAACCTTTGGAATAACGTGGGCAGAGGAAAATCCGAGAATTTCGTACTTTTGTCATCATCAGGTGGTTTAGGTATCAACGTTTCGTGTGGACTTCTCGGAAATAAATTAATTGAACCTTATTTCTACGAAAATAATTTAGCTGGTGCTCATTTTCTCAATTTTTTTTAAGGAAGTTTTTCCAACTCTATCAGATGATCTTCCTCTGCAACAACGATAAAGCGTGATGCTCCAGGATGATGGATGCCCGCACACAATTCTTTGTAGGTGAGACGTTATTGGAATCGTCACTTCCAGGATAGGTGGACTGACCTCATGGCCCGATCTGTTGACCTCATCGGTCACCCGACTATTTTCTGTGGGCCTTTAGAAAACAGTGTCTACGCCAATCATATCCCAGCAACCTCATTTGAAGAACTGCGGCAAAGGATAGAAAATACTTGTCAATCCATCTCCCCTGACTGCTCTGAGCAACGGTGAAGAGTGGTTCAAAAGAGCAAATCTTTGCATCTTTAAGCAAGACGGTCATCTTCGGTTCGAGCATAAAATGTGAGTAATAAATGGCAAACCAAATGACTGTTTTTTCACAAATTTTTTGCCATAACTCCACCATTGTTTTCAGCGTAAAAAATACTTTAAAAGTATTATTAATGATTAAAGTTTTTGTCTATTAATTCTGTATTTATCCTTCATTAACATTTATATAGATAAATATTGTCTGATAAACTTTTTTTATGTTTTATTATTATTTACTCAGAAAAGTACTTTTAATGATAATAATAAGTTTTCGTATTTTAGTCATAATCTTGATAAAGACTGACCTACATAAATAATACCTAACAACCTACTATTTGTTTGGGTTTTTTTACAATTTATACTTACGCCCTACAAATTTAGAGTTCCAATAAAATTAATCAATTGTTATTTTATTATGATTTATAAATGTAAACTTTATAAAAAGTTACATAGGTAACTCACGTTAAGTGTAAGAAAAGTCCACGAGACCCAATTTCGCGAGAATAAATAAAACCATCAATCAATCAATCTCTTACCCTCTTTCTCACTCTCTCGTCGCTCATTCGCGCTCTCTCTTTCTCTTACTCACTCTTTCTCTCACCCTCCCTCTCACCCTCCCTCTCACACTCTCTCTCTCTTTCTCTCTTTCTCTCTCTCTCTCTCTCTCTCTCTTTCTCTCTCTCTCTCTCTCTCTCTCTCTCACTCTCTCTCTCTCACTCACTCACTGACTTACTCAATCACACACTCTCTCTTTTTCTCAAACTTTCTTTCTCTCACTCTCTCACCCTCCCTCCCCTCTCTCTCACTCACTCTCTTTCTCTCACTTTCTTTCTCTCACTTCCCCCTCTCTCTCTTTCTCTTACTCACACTCTCTGTTTCTCTCAAACTTTCTTTCTCTCACCCTCCCTCCCCCTCCCTCTCACTCACTCACTCACTCTCTCTCTTTCTCTCAAACTTTCTTTCTCTCACTTCCTCTCTCTCTGTCCTCTCTCTTTCTCTCAAACTTTCTTTCTCTCACTCTCTCACCATCCCTCCCCCTCTCACTCACTCTCTCTTTCTCTCACTTCCTCTCTCTTTCTTTCTCTTACTCACACTCTTTTTTTCTCTCAAACTTTCTTTCTCTCACTCTCACTCTCTCTCTCTCTCTCTCTCTCTCTCTCTCTCTTACTCACTCTCTCCCTCTCTCTCTCTCTCTTTTTCTCTAACTCTCTCTCTTTCTCTCACTCTATCTCTAACTCTCTCTTTCTCTCTCTCACACATTTTCTTACTCATTCATTATTTTTATTTTGATATAGAAGAAATCGACAACGATGATTAATATGTTTGATATCTGGTTTCTGGTCAGGTAGAGAAAGAAGTAGACTCTGTGATCACTTGCCAAGCTTTCGACCTTTACAAGACCATCATCAGAGCCTGAAAAAACTTGTCTTAATTTCAACTTAACCAACCTCATGAACTTCGAGACCCCTTAGTCGATGTCGTCGGTTTTTTTCCCGCCATTCTGTAATGTTAATATGAGAAATAGGATGCTGTAAGTTAAAACTAACCAAAAAAATTTGTAATTAATAAAATAATGTAATGTTGTAATATTTATTCAAGCCTTGATGATGGTCTTATAAAGGCAGAAAAGCTTGGCAAGTTATTACAGTCTGCTTCTTTCTCTACCTGACCCTTGACCAGAAACCAGCCTCAAACATATTATTTTTATTGTTTTATCGATCAGAGAGCGGTTTTATATATTTGTATTGTTTGTTTTTGTCCTTAAGGGAACCTGTCACCAGGTCATAATACTCTCTCTCTCTCTCTCTCTCTCTCTCTCTCCCGCTAATTGTCTTGTTGACTTTTTTACTCTCATGATCACTCTCTCCCTTCATTTCAATCTCTCAAAGTTTTTTCTTTGTTCTCTCTTTTTACACTCATTTTCTTTTTCACCCTCTCACCCTTACGTTACCGTACGTTCTTCTTTGCCATATTTCTAATACTCGCATATTTAATCCACAGTTCTTACATGTTTCCTCTCGTACAATCCCCGTCTGTAGGCGTGCTTGTTCAGCAGGGTTTTCAATTCCGAGAATAGGGCGAAGTCGATTTGGTTCGATTTTTGAAACCCGTCAGTGTTATTGTTTGAACTTTAACGACTTCTTTTTTACCGTCTTCATTAGGTTAAACGTGACGATATATCACGAGCGAGACCAGACGGCCCTAAGTATATAAGTTGTGCATTTCATTATTGCAATTGAGTTTTTTCATATTTTAAAAAACTCTTGGAAGAAATTTTGTTGTTTTGTGTTTAGAGCAAATTCTATTAGTGTTTGGTTTATTTTATTGGTAAATCTTAATCTCTGGTATTAAAGTACTCTATTGAAGTAAGAATTGGTTCATATTTTTTTGTGTCACTGTAGCAGTTTTTTTGAAAATCAAGCCTGTTTTTGTACATGCAAGTGAGCGGTTTTCCCTTTCTTACTTCCTGTCTGCGTTGAGGTCGCAAACTTGGACGACGCGTGGCGGATCTGGCAGGGCGAGCAAAGCCAAATTTAAATTAAATAAGGTCAGCAATTGTGTCGCATTGTCTCGCACTGTCTCTAAAAACAAGGGAGGAGAGAGAGAGAAAAAGAGAACTAGACAAAATATTAAATCTCGAGCTAACTATGCTCTTTTCCGAGTCTATTTTAGTCCGTAAGGTTGGAATTAATCACCGGTCACCTTTTCCAACTCGATCTCCCTGATCTTGTGTATGTTGGGGTTGATCTTGCGACGATCGCTGGAGCTGCCCATTGCTCACTGGATGCAGATCATGACCACCGGCCTTCTCGGTTTTTCGCCGTGCATCCTCGACACTCGGAAACGGACTGGGAGACTTGTCTAAATCGCCCTTAGGCTATTTTTGTATTTTTGTAACTCCCACTCCGGATCCTGGTTTATCCCCCGGACCATGGGGTTTTTTCCTTTCTGGCCGAATATTTGACAATTACTGCCCATTGAGAGTAGACATCCCTTGCAAAAAAACTACTCGACACTCTTTCTAGTAAACTTCATAAAAAATTACAATAATTTTTTTTAAACTTTAATTTTCATCCCCCTTTCTAATTAACACATGCTGTTTAAAGAAATTAGACTGTAATAAAAGAAATAATTCATAAGAATCAACTTCTAAAAACCAGTAATACACATGTGTATTGCGAATTTAGTATTTCAACTATTTACGGCAGGCATCAGTCACATTTCTCTCAATAAAGCAACCAATTTAAACAACCAACTTTTTAATCCAAATCGATAATAAATTGTTTATGAATGTAAGCTTTATAGATTGAAAGATTCTTCAAAAGAATGTAGACAGTTTTGTAAAATTACAAGGAGGTTAGAACTTAAACCACAAACAATAAATATATTTAGCTTTATTCTACACAATTAAGCTATAAAATGTCAAAAATATTAAGTTTTGTCAAAAATATCCTCATTTTTATTATTATACATAGTTACATTTTACAAGTTTTTCGATGTTTTGAAACATTTAACTTTATTAGGAGATCGTAAGATGCGGTCTGGTGTGATGTAGGTTTAGAAAAACATTTTCTTTCTTGTACCAAAATTTCGATCTTTATTGGGATCATCTTCAGGATCAATATGTCACTGTTATGTTAAACACCACACATTTAACAAACAATTATTAAGCTCTTAACCTGAGCGTTATGAATTGGTTACTACTCTAAAAGAATCTAAGCTGTTCTGTAAAATTACAAGCAAGTTAGAGCTTAAAAACCACAAAAAATAAGCATGTTTAGCTTTATTCTGCTCAATTAAACTATAAAACATCAAAAATATCAAGTTTTGACAAAAATATCCCATTTTTTGATTGTACGAAGTTACATTAACAAGTTTTTTGACGTGTAGAAACATTTAACAAACACCTGGAAAACAAACACTTTGAGTGAGTACAAATACTTTGATTGAATCTCAAATTTTCTAGCATTGTATAAATTCATTTTATTTTTTAAATTATTTTTTTAATCTAAAATTTTCTAGCACTGTATAATTTTTTTTATCTAAAATTTTCTATCTGTATAAATTCATTTTATATTTTTAATCTAAAATTTTCTAACACTGAATAATTTTTTTTAATCCAAAATTTTCTAGCATTGTATAAATTCATTTTTTTCTCACCTCCTACATGTATTTGTCAAATTTAAACAATGTTTATAAATCCCAGGCCCTGAAGATGATCTCAATAAAGATCAAAACGTTGGCACGATAAAGAAAATGTTTTCTAAAACCTACAACACACCAGACCGCATCTCAGGACCTCCAAATAACCAATTTAACAAACAATTATTCAGCCCTTAATCTGAGCTTTATGAATGGATACTTCACTAAAATAATTTAGTCTGTTCTGTAGAATTACAAGCAAGTTAGAGCTTAAAAAACACAACAAAATTAATTAATTAATTAAAAACATAAGCTAAATATGTTATTCAGTATTTCGATCATTTACAGTGCTTTTATAAAATAAAAAAAATAAAAATATTTTTAAAAAAAATGCAGTACACAAATTGGGTGTTCAGTTACAAAGAAGTGAGACCTCCAAAATTATGAAACATAACCATATTCAGCCTTCTTCTACTCAATTAAACCACATTTTTTATATTTTGTATGTGGAAACATTTAATAAACAATTATTCAGCCCTTAGCCTGAGCTTTATGAATTGAATACTCTAAAAGAATCTAGGCTGTTCTGTAAAATTACAAGGAAGTTAGAGCTTAAAAAACGCAAACAATAAACATATTTAGCTTTCTTCTACTCAATTAAGCCATAAAATGTTAAAAATATCAAGTTTCCTCAAAAATATTCCCATTTTTGTTGTATGTAGTTACATTTAACAAGTTTTTTGTTTGTTTTTTAATATATATAGAAATATTTAATAAACAATCATTCAGCCCCTTGACCTGAGCTTTATGAGTTGAATACTCTAAAAGAATTTAGTCTGTTCTGTAAAATGACAAGCAAGTTAGAGTTTAAAAACCACAACACAATAAAGATAGGCTAAACACATTATTTAGTATAATGAGACACATATTTCACAATACAGTAAATAACTTCAAAAATCAACGTTTTAATCCAAATTAAGTATAAATTATTTACTGGTACTGCGTTGATTTTTTATTTCAGTACACAAGTTGGGTGATCAAGTTGCAAACAACTGAGAACTTAAAAATTATAAAAACATCCATTTTAAGCCTTCATCTAAACTATTAAGCCTCAAAATGTCAAAAAATATCAAATTTCTTTACGGTATTTAGCCCAAAAACTACTATGCATAAATATTTTTTTATTTATTTATTCATTTTTTTTTTTTTGCAATTAGACAGTATGGAAGTTTTTTCTGCAACTCTCAATCAGAATCCTTGGCTTTTTGCATTAAAAACTTTTCAAAAAGAACTCAAGCAGTTCTATAGAATTACAAGCAAGTTAGACCTTAAAAATCATACACAAAAAAAACTATATTTAGCCTTTTTCTCCTGCATTAAGCCATAAAATGTCAAAAATATCAATTTCCGGCTATTTTAGCTGTAAAGAAACTACATTTTTAACTAGCAATCACAATTAACGTCATATTTTATGTAAATTTATACTTATTAATATGTGTAAACATTGCCTTTGTTTTCATTTTGTCAATTCTTTATACAGTATGAAATTTTTTTTCTCAATTAAAAATATGTTACACACGTATTATTTCCGGTGATAAATCTTGACTTTTTAAGCTGAAAGCTGTTCGACAAGAATCCAAGGTGTTCAATCGAACTGCAAATAATTTCGATCATAATACAGAAAAGTGTAAGTACCTTCGGCAATTTTCAACTATATGCAGCAAATATTCAACTAGGCTGATTTATGAAGAAAAATTACACTTTAGCTACCAGAATCATTGTAAATAGTTACATTTCACAAGTTTTTTGTTATGTAGAAACATTTAACAAACAATTATTCAGCTCTGAACCCGATCATTATGAATTGCTGAATGTACTTATACTTTTAAGTATTTATGATCAAAATTATTTGTAATTTGACCGAACCGCTTGGATTCTTCTTGAAGCATTCTTGAAAAGCTTTCAATGCAAAAAGCCAAGGATTCTGATTGATAGTTGCAGAAAAAAAACACTTTCATAATGTAAAATTGACAAAAAAAGAAGACAATATTTATGCATAGTATTTTTTGCATCAAAAACAGTAAAGAAATTTGATATTTTTTGACATTTTGTGGCTTAAGAGACTAGAAAGAGGCTTAAAATGGATGTTTTTATGATTTTTAAGTTCTCAGTTGTTTGTAACTTGATCACCCAACTTGTGTACTGTAATAATAATTCAATGTTGTACCAGTAAATAATTTATTGATTTGGATTCAAAAGTTGACTTTTTAAGTTATTTACTGTACTGTGAAACATGTGCTTCATCATACTAAATAACATGTTTAGCCTATCTTTATTGTGTTGTGATTTTTAAGCTCTAACTTGCTCGTCATTTTGCCAGAACAGACTAAATTCTTTTAGAGTATTCAATTCATAAAGCACAGGTCAAGGGACTGAATAATTGTTTATTACATAAAAAACATGTTAAATGTAACTACGTACAACAAAAAATGGAAATATTTTTGACAAAACTTGATATTTTTGACATTTTATGGCTTAATTGAGTAGAAGAAAGCTAAATATGTTTATTGTTTGCGTTTTTTAAGCTCTAACCTGCTTGTAATTTTACAGAACAGCCTAGATTCTTTTAGAGTAATTTCCAATTTGTAAAGCTCAGGCTAAGAGCGAATAATTGTTTGTTGTCATTAACAAAAAATAAAAATTCCCCCCCCCCAAAAAAAAGTTGTTTTTGTGCCATAACATTAAAAATATTGATATTTTTTGACATTTTATGGCTTAAAGGAGTAGAAGGCTAAATATGTTTATTGTTTGTAGTTTTTAAGCTCTAACTTGTTTGTAATTTTACTGAAAAGACTAGTTCTTTTAGAGTATTCAATTCATAAAGCTCAGGCTAAGGGCTGAATAATTGTTTATTAAATGTTTCTACATGTAACAAATGTGGCTTAATTGAGTAGAAGAAGGCTGAATATGGCTATGTTTCATAATTTTGGAGGTCTCACTTCTTTGTAACTGATCACCCAACTTGTGTACTGTATTTTTTTTATTTTATAAAAGCGCCATAAATGATCAAAATACTGAATAACATATTTAGCTTATGTTTATTGTGGTTCTGAAGCTCTAGCATGTTTGTAATTTTACTGAACAGCCTAAATTCTTTTAGTGAAGTTCATATAGCTCACATTACGGGCTAAATAATTGTTTGTTATTCCAAATTGATGTGGTCTGGCATGCCGTAGGTTTTAGAAAACATTTTCTTTATCGTGCCAAAGTTTCAATCTTTATTGAGATCATCTTCAGGGCCTGGGATTTATAAACATTGTTTAAATTTGACAAATACATGTAGGAGGTGAGAAAAAAATGAATTTATACATTGCTAGAAAATTTGAGATTCAATCAAAATATTTGTACTCACTCAGTGTTTCTACACTCAAAAAAACTTGTGATATGTAACTTTAATCATACTAAATAACATGTTTAGCCTATGTTTATTGTTTTGTGGGTTTTAAGGTCTAACTTGTTTGTAATTTTACAGAACAGACTAGATTCTTTTAGAGTATTCAATTCATAAAGCTCAGGTTAAGGCCTGAATAACTGTTTTCTAAATGTTTCTACACATTGAAAAACTTGTTAAATGTAACTATGTACAATCAAAAAATGGGATATTTTTGACATTTTATAGCTTAATTGAGTAGAAGAAAGCTAAATATGTTTATTTTGTGCGCTTTTTAAGCTCTAACTTGCTTGTAATTTTACAGAAGAGCTTAGATTCTTTTAGAGTAGTATCCAATTCGTAAAACTCCGTTAAAGGGCTGAATAATTGTTTGTTGCCATTAACAAAAAATGAAAAAAAAATCTTCTATTTTTCAAAAAACGTTTTTGTGTCTAAAACATTTTAAAAAATCTGATATTTTTTGACATTTTGGGGCTTAATGCAGTAGAAGAAAGCTGAATATGGCTATGTTTCATAATTTTGAAAGTCTCACTTTTTTGTAACTGATCGCTCAACTTGTGTGCTGTAATTTTTTTTCCTTTTTATGGAAAAGTGCTGTAAATGATCGAAATACTGAATAACATATTTTGCTTATGTTTATTGTGTTGTGTTTTTTAAGCTCTAACTTGCTTGTAATTTTACAGAACAGCCTAAATTCTTTTAGTGAAGTATCAAATTCATAAAGCTCTGATTAAGGGCTGAATAATTAATTGTTTCTACATATCAAACACTTGTTAAATGTAACTACGTACAATCAAAAATGAGATATTTTTGCCAAAACTTGATATTTTTGACATTTTACAATTTAATTGAGTAGAAGAAAGCTAAATATATTTATTGTTTGTGGTTTTCAAGGGCAAACTTGCTTAAAATTTTTATAAAAAAAAGACTTGATTCTTTTGAAAAATCTTTCAATCCATAAAGTTTTGGTTTAATGGTAAATAATTTTTCAATAAAACTTTTGCCAAAAGTGTCAAGAAATCTGGCAAATCGTTAAAATATGTAAAAAAAAAAAAAAAAAAAAAAAAAAGGAGAAAGGAGGGAAGATTTCATAAAATCACCCAGATGTCTCTGCCATCCCTGGCGTCTGTGGACGTCGATAAAGGGCCAAACGTAGAACCTCTTTACAGAGAAAAAGCGTCGGCTTTTTTTGTTATTTTCCTCCCCCCGGTCGAAAGAAAGAAAAAAAGCTCAAAATGAACATTTTCTGAATTTTATTTCCCGGAGGACGATGAAAATTTAAAGCCCGTTCGTCATGGAAGACTCGCTGGAGTTGTTATTCTTCGACACCTTTTCTCACGAGAGCTCCGAGGTAGGGTGAACCAAAAACAAAACTATTAAAAATCAAGCCTTTAAAAAAAAAAAAAAAAAACTATTTTATACACTTTTTTGAACATTTTTCAAGCTTTTAAATCACAAGTAGTGCCTGAAAAAAAAAGTTTCAGGGTTTTTATTTTTATCAAACATTTTCATTCTATATTTATTACATTAGAATCTTAATTATAATTAATTTGTGTTTAATTAAACTGATTTTGTATTGTATAAGCAATGAAAAATACCAAGTAAGGACTCTTGGTATGCAGGCGACATGCGTAGGCCTTGACCGAGAACAGATCAAGATAATCGATGCCTATAAACTCGGATAGAGCAAAACTAACAAATTTTACAATTTAAGCATTTATTTATTAAGCAATAAACTTTTTTTTACATGTACAATATATTTAAAGGCATGTAGGACATGGCCTGCGAGAGTCTTGAGCCGGTTGTCTTGGCCGGCCCTCTGCCGAGGATGGCGTTAAAACCAGCTAGATCAAGTGTATCAATGAAAGCGGAGATGAACAAGCTACAATATCATGGATAATGAATTTCCTCTCATATTTTATTTTATAAATTTGACAGGAATAATTATAATGTAGGATTAAAACATGGTCTTGAGCCAATCATCTTGTCTGTCCCTCTGCCGAAGATGGAGTTAAAACCAGCTAGATCAAAGTGTATCAATGAAAATCAGAGATGATCAAGCTACATATCATGGATAAGGTGTTTCCTCTCATATTTTATTTTGTAAATTTGACAGGACTAATCGTCATGAAATAATTAAAACATTACCTGTGAGGGTCTTGAGCCAATCATCGTGGCAGACCCTCTGCCGAAAATGTCGCCAGAACTAGTCAGATCAGGTGTATCAATGATAATCAGTTTCCTCTTGTATTTTATCTTCTAAATTCTGTCAGGAATAATCATAACGTAGAATAAAAACATGGCATGCGAGGGTCCTGAGCCAATCATCTTGGTTAGCCCTCAGACCAAATCACCAAGATAGATCAGGGTCTTATAGTAGAGTCCTGCTTGTCGGAAATAATCGGGACAACTCTGTTCGGTGTGTGCGAAATAATGCAGAAGGATGAAGTAAAACAGGTCAGGTAGGTCCAACGGAACAGGTGGTACAAACACGTTGAAAAATAAGCTGGTAGTTTGTTGCTTCTCGGTTCAGTATATAATAACAATTCTGGTTGAAAGCCACATTTTGAAAAGGTGAAATTCATCCATCAGATCAAAATGTTCAGAAAGGACAAAACAACAGGCCCATTCAGATCTCACAATTTTTGAATTGCATTTAAAAATCAATCCATTAGAGTTCATGGTCTGATTGACTGAATAAATTTTTTCAATTAATTAATCTTTATGTAAGAGAGATAAAAAGTCAGTGTCACGAGCGGGATTCGAAAAGGAAAAATTCGAAAAGTGGGGTTAAGATGGGAAGTTAGTGTCTGAGTGGATCGAAGTCACGATAGCTCAAGTGGTAGAGCAGCGGCGTATTTAGCCAAGGGTCGTGGGTTCGAATCTAAGAAATTTAAAAATCAATATTTGAATGGAGTAGACAAAGCCACAGTTATTGTTTATTAATACAAAAAAAAAAAAAATTGCCTTTGCCAACTGAAGTGTGTTGGAATCTGCCTGATAAAACATACTTTTTGAACCAAACTGTTATAAAATCCTTTACAATGAGCTTATTTTATAATTTTCTTTTTTATACAGGAAATCAACCTTGACTTGGTTCAATTCCCCAAGCCAGTTTACATTGGCGAAGTGAGGATTATTCCACTTGGAGCAAGGGTACAGGCTGATTTTCCTGGAGGGGTGAGATTAGGGTAATTAAATTTTTTATAGTTAAATCATCAAATTATGTGTTTAAATGGTTGATTTTGGGCTCTTTATTTTTGTTCAGTGCGACAAACCCATCTCAGTTCAAGATCGAGTTTTTTGTCAATGACCTGAGCAAGCCGGGCGCGTCGACGTTTGAAAACCTCGGCGCCATCGACTACAACCAAAATGGCAACATACACTTTGAGTACAACCATTCTCGTGTATGCACTTTAGAATTTTTTTTTATATTTCCTTGTTAGGGTAAAATAAAAAATAAATTAATATTTAGCCTCCTATCCCAACCGATGGCCTCGTCCTGAGAGGCTGGTACACCACGATCACGCTGGCAGTGTACGGCGTACTGACGAAGACGGTCCCGCCCGAACCGGCTCAGCCCGATATGGTGACTTCGGTCGATTGGCTCCAACAGCATTCTCAGGTGATTATTAAAACTTAAGCAAAACCTTTGTTAGCCGACATACAAACTTATTTAAAACAATCTGATTATAAAATATGTCTTTAAACAATTAAATAATTATTTATTATGTTTATTGATTATTTAAGTAAAATTTTATATAAATCCAAAGTTGATTTCAAGTTGCAAAAATTTAAGTATTCTTTTAATTGACTGTCTGTGAATTATTTGACAAAAAATATTTTCTAATTTTTAGTATATTATTTGTAAAAAAATCATTAACGGCTAAACAGGGGTTACTATATTTCAGAGCTTTTTTCCTTTTTATTCCCACTTTAATTTATTAACTTTTTATTTTTAATTAAAAATTGCAGTGTTTTAAACAAATTGTGACTAAAACTCTAATCTATAGTTTTAATCCATGCACATAGTTTTTTTTAAATAGTTCATTAACTTGCCTGTATGAATAACATTGAATGAAATCATTGCTTTTCTGCCCTTTTTTATATATTTATTTGTGCGTAATCTCTTTTGGTTTATTTTTGTTTAACTCTTTTTCAAATAAATTATCGGATTGACTGTCTAAAGAGAGAAAGAGAGAGAGTGAAACGAGTCAAATTTCAATCTGCAGCTTTTAATGCTTAATTGCATGGCGATGATTGAAAAAGGAACCCACGATGCGATTTTCCCGATTTGGTCCACGTGGCTTTCTTCTTCTCAGACCCTCTTCCCCCCACCAATGCTTTTAAAACAAAAAATTGAATTTTTGAAATTTTTTTGGTGAGGAAAGGTGTTTTTTTTTCTGTTTGGTTGCATGCGTTGGAGATGGAAGATGGCACGCGAGATTACATGGTTGAAGGTGGCCACCACTACACTAGCTACCCCCAAGACGAAGTTGGGGACGCTTACACAAGCCAGGATTACCGCCCTCAGCAGTCATACTCCTGGCACCAGGTAAAGACGAACAATGCATTTTTGCAACAGAAAAAAATAAATAAAAATAAAATAAATAAACCGACAAATACAAAATTGATCTCTATTTTTCCACTAAATTTATCAAACACACTATTTAAAATAAGTGAAACTCGATGAAAGGTGTAGAAAATAAAATAAACAATTTTAAGGATGATTAATTGAACGCGTAAAATAATAAAATTGGTCATGTCGCGACATCCTTAACCATCCTGATGGATTTCTAACCCAAACTATCATATCTGGTGTTTTAACTATCACTAACGATCTGTAACCTAAAATATTGCGATGTCTGGTGTTTAACCGTCCTTAACAAACCCACCGTTACTGCAGGTTCATCACAAAGTCAGAGAAAAACGATCGAAGACGATCAAACTTGACACTCTTCAATTTGATAATTTTCAAACTTAATATCCTGTAGCGCTTTTTATTGCTTTTCTTCATTCTTCTCAGCTTTTCTGTCCATATTTCTCTTTTTATTTTCATTATGGTGCCGTTAATAAAACATCTAGGCTTAAGACTTCGCAATTTTCTAAATTTAAATCTAAAGTTTATTTACAAATGAATAGAAAAAAATAGTTCAATTATTATTGTTCTTAGGATGACAGAAGGAAGAGAAATTTAATGAAATATGGGTGATTGTACTTTTTTATTTTATTTACAAAATGACAGCAGGGATTGGTCAAAAGAGAGATAGAAAACAAGTTTTAAAACCTTAAAAAAAGTCTTCCATCTTTCCCCTCCCTTCAATTAACTAATAATAAAAAAGATTAACCCTATTTCTTTTCTTTTCTAGGGATTTATTAATCTACTAATTATTATTTAAAAATTAATCTATTTTCTGTTACTTTTGTTCTTTTAATGCAAAATGAAAGGATTTGTGACATCTGTCATGACAGGGATGTCATCAGGAGTCGTACGACACACCGAAAGAGGCGTATGAGGGAGAGAGTTGGGAGCTTCGTCAGGAAGACAAGCATTGGGAACGGTCGAAGGACAGGCATCAAGATCAGAATTTCAGGTTTGCCCTTTTTGTTTATTTAGAAACAAAGAAAAAAAAGAAGTAAAAACTGAATTGTTTTAAGATATGAAAGGAGGCATGAAGAACGTAGCCCTGATTACCATGAGCGTGGTACGCCTGAATACGACGGCCGGCAAAGCGGCGATTACTACAAGTCGAGGCGTTGGGTCTCGAATGAGTGGAGCGGAAGCAGGAAGAGGCCGCATACTCCGCCACCTCCTCCAACGGTTACAGTCCACGGTAAACCGGACAAAAATATAAATTAAAATTTCCATTCTAATTTTCTAATTAATTATATTTCTTGAAGAAACATCACCTCAGCAAGGACAGTTTGAATCAATGTCACCCGGTGACGTTGAATCGATATCTGAAGGTGATATTCCGGAGACTGAAGGCATGGAGGAGAGTGGAAAAGCATCACCGACTACACCGCCCGCTCAGTCGACTTCCCCTCAGCAAAAACACACCGGCGAACCTTTTGAGCCTATATTATCCGATGATGAAATTGTTGACGATCAGGTTTAAATAAAGACAACAGAACAAGTTTTTTGTTTTTACATTAAAAATCGAATTGCAGGATATGGATTATGATTTTGGCGAGTTCACCGAAGATCCTTTACAGTCGTTCAACCCGTACAATAATGAAATCCCTAGTCTTAAGGTACATTATAACTCTCTTAGAAAATATACGCTGAAATTTTGACTTTATCCTTCGTTTTTTAGAGTTTCTACGATCCCGCTATTCCTGTCTATGAGTGGGAGACGAAGGAACTGCTGGAAAAGACAGACGAAGATGGTGAAGCTTTGAAAAATCTGATTAACTCAATAACGAATCTGCACGACTCTAAAGGCGTCTGGGTTGAGACTGTAGAACAGGTCATAGTGTGCATCGAAAAGTCACTGACGAAAGTTGCAACCAGTGAAAGAAAAGGTAAATTATTTTTGTAGTTTAGTCATTTCTTAGACCTGGTGTGTTTATTTCTAGTTTTCACCATCTTCCTAGATGCTTTTCTTTGGTGTGGTTATGCACCAGATTTCATGATAGTTTAGAAATGATTTGTGATGTTTAAGTATGGGTAGGGATATAACTGAGAGCCCAAAGAGATGCTTGTTGAAGGTGGTTGAAGCAGAACGTTTGAGGTTTTTCTAATCATCATTAACTATCACTACCCATCCTTAACCATTTCTAGCCATCGTCAACCATACTTAATCATCAAATCCTAAACCATTTTTAAACATTAACCATATCGAACCATCTCTAGCCATAATCAACCATTACAAACTGTCACTACCCATCCTTAACCATTTCTAGCCATCGTCAACCATGCTTAATTGACAAATCCTATACCATCCTTAAACATTAACCATACCAAACCATATCTACCCATAAGCAACCATCAACAACTGTCACTACCCATCCTTAATCATTTCTAGCCATTTTCAACCATACTTAATCATCACATCCTAAACTGTCCTTAAACATTAAACATACCAAACCATCTCTACCCATAAGCAACCATCAACAACTGTCAGTACCCATCCTTAATCATTTTTAGCCACTTTTAACCATACTTAATCATCACATCCTAAACTGTCCTTACATATTAACTATACTGAACCATCTCTTGCCTTAAGCAATAATCACAAACCATTTATACTCATCCTTAACCATTTCCGGCCATTGTCAACCAGGCTTAATCATCAAATCCTAAACCGTCCTTAAACATTAAACATACTGAACCATCTCTTGCTTTAAGCAATTGTCAACCATATTTAATCATCGCATCTTAAACTGTCATTAAACATTAACCATACTGAACCATCTCTAGCCTTAAGCAACCATCACAAACCATTTATACCCATCCTTAACCATTTCTAGCTATCATCAACCATGCTTAAATGTCAAATCCTAAACCATCCTTAAATATTAACCATACTGAACCATCTCAAGCAATAATCAACCATCACTAACCATTTATAACCATCTCTAGCTATTGTCAACTATATCTAACGAACCCAACATCAACCATACCGAACCATCTTTATCAAGCTTAACCATACCAAACCATCACATCCTTAACTATCATAAACCATCTGTACTCATCTTTAACAATCTTAAACAGTATTGGCTATCTCTAGCCGTAATGAACCGTACAAAACCATCATTCTTAACCATCCTTGAACATCTGCCAAATCAAGCCATAACCAAGCCTTCACAAAACCATCCCTATCCATCCTTAACCAGCACAAATTATCTCTATCCATCCTTAATTATTACAAACCAAACCTAGCCCTAACTGAAACGATCTGATTGACCAAAACATGCAGATGAAGATGATTAGAAATAACTAATCCCAGTTCATTAACCCACATACCTCAGTGAGAAAAATCACAGTTTGTATTATTTGAATAACAAATTATTATAATTTTTGCAGAGATATTGGACAAATTGATCACATGGGTTGCGTTTGGTTTGAACTTCAAAGAAGCATTCGAGCAGCCGCAGCCGGGGCTGAAATTACGCCATATAAAAGCCGGAATACGTTTGGTCGAATCGTTGAGCCAGTGCGGTGAAGAGATAACGCTTAGAATGATAGAGGAGGCGGATGCGCAGAACAAACTTCTCAATTTGTACCACGAAGAGTACATGGCTTTGATAATAAAACTCATGATCCTGAGGGCCATCGACGCCACGATCCGCTATGAAGCGACAGTCGAGAAGTTCATCGAGATTAAAACCGACAACAAAAGTGGATACCAAAGGCTAATCGACATGGTCCAAGGGAACCAGCACGCCCGCGTCAAATACGCCCTCTGCGCCCTCGTACAGAAACTCCACTTCTACGAACTGCTTAAATCTCTAAAAGACAACATTCAAAATTTAGACAACGATATTAAAAAAATGAAAAGAAGGGGTGTTGACAGGTCGGATAAATTTGACAGGGAGTTTCTCAGCATGGCTTTAGAGGAAGTGCTTAAAGTCTTCATTGAAGCCAGGACTTTGTTGTCACATCCGAAAAGGTTTTTGCCCGTAGCGGCTCAGTTCGAAATAAATACCGACGATTTCCCAGACCCTTACAAAGCCATCTACACTTATTTCAGATTTACGAATATAATAAAAAGTTTTGTCACTCTCTTTTCCCATCCAGGGACATCGTTGTACCTCCCAATCATTGCTCCTGTTAATGGACTCATATCAGAGATATTGGATACTGACGATGGAATGAAGTTTTTAGCATCTAGTCCTGAGATCAATTCATTGATAAGACTTTTATTGGGAAGTTCAGCGAAACTGGATGAGAACGAAATGGGAGTACCGGGACTGAATCCTACGCTCGGCTTACATCTGGCATACCGTCTGCAGGCGTTGTTGTATCTGGATTCGATTAAAAGTCTCAGAGATGTTGATTCAGACAAGCCGGAGATAATTGACAGCATACAGGGGCTTTTCAATCTGACCTTGTCGAACATCGGAAATATAGGGAAGTCGTCGGTTGTACATGTTTTGAGCCAGGGTTCGAACCTGGACGTCCTACTGGATCTTCTCAAGACGAAATCGAATAAAAAAAGATCACCGAGTAGAGGTTATATATGTGATTTGATCGTGCTGACGATCAAGCTCACGGCTCATGTTCCTTTCTTACAAAGGTATTCAGAAACACTGGTCGAACTGTCGAAAGAAAGTTTTACGGAGATAAGCGAAATACAGAGCTGGCTGTCACCGATTGAAAACTGCACGACATACGAGGCCACTCCGGTATGCGACATAATCAAAAACAACATTGACGCTTGTACTTCTCTCCCACCCGAACTTATAACATCAGTCAGGCTGTTGAAATTCCTCGGCGTGCCGAAACACGAAATCGACCTGTCGAATCAAAACTTCACAAGCAATTACAGAGAGTTGAAACACAAATTTATAATATTACAGCTGTATTCGAACGACGGTCTGACCCACCTGTCGAACATTTTGCAGAAACTCTGCAAGCATTACGACCAACCTTATCTGCATTCTTCGAGATTCATAGCTAGGCAGGGTCTTCTTTTACTCGCGCTCATTTTACCTGCTGTACAGCTGATACGGAGGATGATAACTTACGTTATAAACGTGAGAAATACAGACTTTAAAGATTTGACCCTTGTGCCGATTCTTTTACAGACTTTCAGCTTGATGCAAGCGATACCGCTTAACGCTCAGGCGCATACAGACGCGATAAGAGTCTGCCGTGAAATAATCGAGACCCTGTTGGCTTACACTCAGCCTGTGTCAAGTGAGACGAGCACGGAGACGGAAGCTTTAAATAAAAGTTTATGGACCGCAATGGTCTCAGAGGTGATTAAATTTGCATCGGACGTTCCTTTGAATTTTATGACTGGATTGATGGTCTTGTCAGAGCTTCTTCCTCTCCCGTTGCCGATACAGACGAAAAGCGAGCTTTCGGAAGAAGAGATTTCCAAGTTTGTCAATTCGAGGAGGCTCTGGTCGGCTCATTTGCACTCTCTGGGCTCATCAATCGAATCGATGATAATGATAATGTCGGCAAGCAGTTGTCAGCCGTTGTTGCAGCTTTTAAGAAGGGTCTGCATCCAGCTGGCCGACATCGCGGCCCCGACGGCCATACTCGTCGTCAAAACGATACTTGAAAGCATGTCGAACTTGATGAACGACAAAAACATGCATTTGCAGCTTTTGAGGCAGATCAACTTCCTGGCTTCACTTATGTCGCACGGCGTTATAAAAGTCACATTCCTCAATTTGCTACAGAACGAAAAGAGCCTGCAGCATTTTCAGAATTTGCTCAAATCTTTCGACCAGAAGGCGGAGCAGTGCGTGCAGATTCAGGAAGGTCTGGCGTCCATCTGCCAGTCGCTAGTCGACACGGAAATCTACCTCGTTCAACCTCCTGGACTTGATTCGTCCATAACGATTGAAACGTTCATGAGCTGCGCACTGCCGCCGAAAGACATCCTCATGATGATTTGCCTCGCAATGATCAACTATTTAAAACACGACACTGGTTTCACAGTTTCCCTCACCATACTACGATCCCTCATTCTCTTGGCAGATCACGATTACGGTTTCCATCACGTAAAAATGTATGTTTTTGGTTTATTTTAACCAAAAACAAAATTCAGACTCAAATTTTCTTTAATTTCAGCTCGTTGGAAAAACAAGTCGGCTGTTTGTACAATTTACTAGTCCGAGTGGAAAAGTTCATGTCGCAAAATTGGGGCGAGAACAAAGAGAAGAAAGACGAAGGTTGGACACCGGAAAAGCAAGAATGCCTTGCTGTCGTATCGTCAGCCCTTGAACTCTTCCGTAGCCTCGTAAATGTAGAAGCGTCCGAGTTCAATATGAGAACGCTCGTACTGACGTTTTCTGAACTCGGGAAGATAATCATGTGGCCTTCACCAGACAACTCACTCCTAGTCATAGAAGAAGTTTTAAAAGTACGCTTTAAACTAAAAATTAGATAGTAAATTTTTTTTAAATATTTAATTTGTAGAAAATAGTCAGCGAAGGTCAACAGGATGTTGAACAACTAGTTGAAACACTCTCTTCCTTTTTTGTTAAACTGTCGGATATGCAGAAAAACGAGGCAAAATCCACGAGTGTAGCACCAGGTACGCAGCATAGAAATGTTTTGATTTAAATCAGTTGATAATTTTTTTTTTTTTTTTTTTTTTAAGAAACAAGCACGGAACCTACGATACCGCCAGCGGAATCATTGTTGACCCAATTTTCCATGAGGACTGTCTATACATTGACCGATAACGAAGAAGATCGTCTCTCTACGGCTTATTGGCTCTCCGCACCAAGCAGTGACGAGCCAGAGCAAGACGCAGAAATCGTAATTTTTTTAAATTATCTGTAATTTACAATATATAATTTTTTTTAAATTAATTTTCAGGTCACTGTTGATTTATTGGAAATTGCCAAGACGGATTTAGGTGGTGTTTCATTGAGCGATGCAGTCGCACAGCTTTATGACAGGAAAAATGAATCTGCAGATACAAGTGATGCTGAAAAAAAGGCCAAAACCAACAGTTCAAATCATAAAAAACCTTTTGGTAATTAAAAAATAATATTAAATAAATCAAATAAAATAAAAAAAATAAATAAAATACAGATTATATTTTGTTAGTCACTCCAATGAGAGGACGAGGAGGAATCAGAGGCGGAGGTGCAAGAGGGTCTGACACGTTCCGGTCACGCCCTCCAAACACATCACGACCGCCTTCACTCCACGTCGACGATTTTGTCGCTCTCGAGACCTGCGGAACGACCGGCTATACAAAATCCATACAGCAACAGCAGGACAAAGGTGTGAGGGGAAGGGGCAGAGGAAGGACTTTTGGTATGGAAAGGGGTGGAAAGTTTTTCCCAGGACATCTATATCACAGAGAAGGTACTATTTAAATAATAATAATAATAATTTGTATTAATTAATTCTTTATAAATATTTAACAGGCGATAGCATCTGGGATAGGTCGCAATTATACGGCAGCGAGTTGCTAGACGGACGTTTCGGCAGGAGCCAGAGGTCAGCCAACGTACCTATGGCATGGGGTTCTAAAGAGCCTCGTACGCAACGTGGTGCGTCTAGCAGGCACATGAGGTTCTTTCAAACGTAAATATATAAGAGAGAGGGAAGGGAAAATGTTTTGAAGATATTACCGCCTCTGCCCTCGTTTTTACAGGATGAAGTCAGGAATAGAAGATTTCCATTAGATAAGTTTTGTTTTTTCTTTTACAATTGTTTTTTTACTACATCATTTCTTAATCTGTTTTAGTCTAGTCTTTCAAATTTATATAACTGCCGTGCTTTGCCTACTGTAAATATTAAATGTTTCTTTTTATGAAATTGTACATTGTGATATTAGTTGGATTTTTACAAATGTATATATCTGATTCTTGTATCTGAACAATTCCAAATACAGTACAAATTCCAATTTATTCTTTTTTATTGAATAATTTTTACTTTTACTTCCTGAACCAGGATGATTGGTTTTACGCTTTCTATGCGGGTAACTTTTAACAGAGCAGCGTTTCAACCAGCGACGGCTGACTGCAGGCATGAGTAAAAAAAAGACTGATTGAAAAGCCTCCTTGTTATTTTTATCATAGGAAAATAGTTGCATCTTGCCTCTCCCTGTTTATAACCTTGATTGCTTATACAACCGTACAGTTTATCAAAAAAACCTGCAAAACAACCATAGCAAGTAATGAACAGACCCCCATTCCCACTATGCTAGAAACCGATACCCGGACATAGTTCACATTAGACCAGATTTGACAAGAAATCTTTTAAGGGAAAGATTTTCACTCGGAACATTTGAAACAATTGGTGAACTGAGAAGTGACGGAAACAAATTTCTTCAGTTATTTTTGAATGACTGTTTTTGTTCGTATTTGTCTAGCGTTTTCTCACGTGGTCTCTTTTGGACCAGTGAAATTAAAGTTTCTGCATTTGATTCGCACATGCATGCAGAAACTCTAGATGATCTACAGAATGCGAACTCTAAAATGACCCAATGTGCCTGGATTTTTATACCTCTTCCAATATTTTGCTGAGCTACCTAATGAATAGGCTATGGCAGTGCAGAGCTCGTTCACATTACACCAGTCCAGGCACCGGCTCTCCCCAGTGACAAAGCATCTGACGAAAATGCCGGACTAAGCATTTTTTCAGAATCTGGCTAAACGTGAACAACTTCATATAAAATGTACAGCCACTGCCCTTCCGGGATAGTGGGAACAGGGCCATAGGAAAGGAAAGAAAGGTGCTAATGACATTAGTCCTAGAAACCAGAGCAAACAGTATGACTTGTCTAGGTCCATAGGGAACTCTATGGAGTGAAAACATATAAATTCTAACCGTCCCTAACTGATCCAAAATTTCCACACCAAGCTCTCGATTCATCTCAAGCACTACACTAGTCCAGCACGTCCAATCCTTCCAAAGAGTATGGTGACCAGATTTTTATGAGTTACATATTTTATTTGCCACCACATACAACCGAGGAAATCAATTATCTATGCGCATCATGTATCTAGGAAGCTGTAGGTAAAATTTTATAGAGCATATTTTTGCATATTTGTTGAATATCGTATAAAATTGCATATTTGAAGGATTTTTATGTAAAATCGCCTTTATCGCACAAAATGTTTTAAATGCTACATTGGTTTTCAGGGGGAAGGATAGAAAAGTTCTGTAAAAAATAAATAAGTTGATGCAAAGTTGTTTTAATTCAAAGAAAATTGAAACAGGCCGCAACAACGGGAATAGAAGATTCTGGAAATACCAGCCAAAGAATATAAAACCCCTTCTTAAATCTTATTTCAATATTCAGTATTCTCACAAATTTTAAGGGATTGTAGGCACTATTTCACAGAAGACAATTAATCGTTTATTAACATTAATTATACTCAATTAGTATAAAATATATAATTTAACAATGAGCTGGGTTATTGACCTGCTGGAAACATGAAGTTTTTTCGGAGGATCTATTTAGACTTTTATGAGGTAACCTTTTCTCAACCACTTTTTTAATTTTTATTGTACTTATGGTTGTAATTTTTAATTACTAATTTATTCAATTTAAATAATGTTTAGATGCTGAGCACCAAAAAAACCTTATGTACTTCTGTGCCCAAAACACCATGTCTTTTTATTTCCCCATTAAGGTAAGATATTTCAATTTTTGTGCAATTTGTTTTTTCATGTTTTTTTTTTTTTTTCTATATGATAATAAAACAGGCCCTGAAGATGACAGTATAAAAACTGTCGAAAGCTCGGCGAAAACCGAAAGGAAGTTTTTCTCTGTGTTGACCTCTTCCATAGATCCTCCGAAAGAACTTCATATATAATTTAATTATGTAAGCGAGAAAATATTTTTGTTAAATGTAAATAAACTCCAGGGGTCGTCGGTGGCCGCAACAGTTTAGGCGTTGACACAGCGCTTATCACTGTAAAGTAAAGGTCCTGGGTTCCAGCAGCCATGCATTTGAACCCAACATAATTACAAATGGGCTTTTGGTCAAAAACACCGGCACCCTGAGGGTTCAAGTAACCTCGCAGTTGAAATACCCTCATTAAAAAAAAGTTTTAATATCAATTTCATTTAATTATCTATATTTCTGTTTAAAGTTACTATAAAAAAAAAAAAAAAAAAAAAATGGTTTACTGCATATCATTGCATATTTTAACGTATTAATACTGCACATTATTGCATATTTCAGGGCTTTCAACCACACATTTTATGGCATATTTTGGCAAATTTTACTGCATACAAATCTATCTCTGCTCATGCTCTCAAAGCAATGTGTGTAAGTAGTTTGCTCACAATCATAAATTTTGATTTGGAAATAAACTGAAGTGGTCGTTGAAGATGATCAAATTCCAGGGTTTTTTCACAAATAACCCACACTCAATGTCATAAAACATCACAGAGACTCTTAACATATGACATACAAGCGTATTAACAGTAAAGACGCTACTTGTACAGCCCGTATAATGAGATAAAGGGCCTGGGGCAAAAACAGTTTTGTATAAACAGTTGCCTATAAACCTCTTCAATCCGTTCTCTCTGGTGTATCTCAAGGGTGTGTTCTAGGTATGTTACTTTTCAGCATAGACGCAGTGATCTTCTCTACAAACCTTGATCCCTCCTTATCCTAGAATCATGTTTACTTTGCCTGCAAACAAAAAAATCCTCCCTCCTATTTATTCCTATTCAAATATTTGGAACTATAACTAGATAAAAGACGTGGAATTAACATAACTTAAAATGTCAGAATTAAAATACAGGTACAAGACAATTTTACTGTTAGACAAATGCTCAACATACTTGAAAAAATAAAATAAATAAACAGCTCTTCTAGCTCATGTATGGACTGGAACAAAAAACGGCTAAAAAAATCATAACATTAAAAGGACCCAATCCATCCAGTCAAAATAATGACCTAGCCAAATCCCAATTCTTCAAATTTCATGCAGTCTAGCTCACTTCACACTTAACACAAATAATAAATAATAAATTAATAATAAAAAACAAAGAAATGTAATACTCACATGCCACATTAAAAAAAGTTTAAAGGTTAATACAAAACTCAATAATTAATGATATAAACAATTGTCTTTATTAATGGTTTTTTTTGTTAAATATTACAATGTAACATCCAATTTTTTTTAAACATATATCTATTTAACATTTCGTTAAATATTTCCTCTTCTTCTTATTATTTTTAAATATATACGTCTCGGGTATCATCAAGTGCGCTGGTTTATGGCACGTTTTATGTTCTATCTTTCTGTAAATTACTTTATTCAGTCTATCCTTCGACAAAGAAACTATAAAGGCACTCAATTTTTGTTGAACGATCAAGATTCAAGAAGGAAAGAAAAAAACAACAAAAAATAAACCACAGTTTATATAAAAATTTTTGCCTTCGCATCAGCGTTTTAACAATATAAATAAATACTGAAAGTAAAAATTTTTTTTTTTAATTTTATTGTTTAAATATAACTTTAGTAACTTTTTAACTTTTGGGAAATGATTAAACTAATATATACACCTTTTTTTAAAAATATTTCTATTCTGGCTGCTTTATAAAACAAAAACTATATAAGAAAAGAGATCATATTCACAGAGATAAAAATTACAAAAAAATTTTTGTTTTTAATAAGTTCAACGATTAAGTATATACAAAAAAAATTTTATACACAAAAGCAGAGCTTTTGGATAGGTTTGTGCACCCCTCCCCCGGGTTCTGCACAAGGCAGGGTTTCTATTTTACAGTACAAAAATATTTTTCTTTTTTAAATTTTCAATTTATACAATACAAAAATCAACCATCCGGATGTATTAATGTTCAGCTAGTCCTATGACTATGGCTTTGTATAAAAAAAAAATCTCTCGACTTGTAATAAAGATTATTACATTGCACAATAACAAAAATGAGATGTTTTTATTTTTATTTTATTATTATTTTTATTATATTTTTTACTGAGAGCTCAAATTGAAAGACTGTAGCTGAATAAAGGAGAAATGTCGACGATAACTAATTATATCAATACTATTTTCAATCATTTATGTTTGTCACGTGTTACAAGATTTTTGTAAATAAAAGCATAGAATTTTGCCTTAATTATATCAAAATTAAAGTTACATGATCTATAAAACAGAAATTATGGACAAATTGTAAGAAAAACAAAAAGTATAAAACCTGATTGATACCAGGATTTTATTCTACTCTTTCAAAACATTGAAAAAACAAAAATGATTTTACATTATAAAGGAAGATTAAAATTAAACTCAGAACATAAGATAAACTTAGATCAAGTACAAGTCATTAAATAAATGGTGGATATCGGTTTGTGACTCACTGAAGACTGCATAAAGCCAAAACTCGTTTGAGCAACGAGTGAAGGCAGATCCAGTGTCAGTACAATAAATGATTAAATGTAAAAAAAGTTTCTTTTATTATTTTATAACGACACGTGGCAACCTATGATTTATGCTTACAAGCTAAAGTAATGGATGCTCTCGAGGGCAAGAAAACCCCAATTTTGTCACAAAGCTCATATAAATTTTGAAACATCAACTTTCTCTTTTGCATAACCCGGCCTTAGTGTTTATTGTTTGTTTTGTTTTTTTGTTTTTATTGTTTTCTGTCGAACGGGATCAGTCGTTGACGAGTATAGTGTGCTGTGGAGGAGGTATCTCGTCCGGCGCAGACCACCTGCGCTTCCTGTCGCCACTTGTACCCGACTGGGCACCCTGTCGAGGCGTCAGGGAGATGCAGACATCGCCCACTTGCAGCTGATGGACCTTCAGACCGTAGGCTGCCTGGGTCCTCTCGGGGCGGCACGATGCCCAACCCTGGCCATAGACGAAGTAGGGGTGTTCTGTCGAACATTCGACCTCGACCTGTAACATAAATACAAATAATGAAAAACAAAATTTACAGTCACTTTTCGACTAATGACTAATACAAGAACAATTCAGCACTGCCATAGAATCCCATGATAATTTCCATGATGATTAACCTTAAAACCCTAAAAATTTAGTCAATTTTTGACTAATGACTAATACAAAAACAATTCAGCACTGCCATCGAATCCCATGATAATTTCCATGATGCTTAACCTTAAAACCCTAAAAATTTATATTCAATTTTTGACGAATGACTAATACAAGACAAATACAGCACTGCCATCAAATCCCTTGATAATTTCTTTGATGCTTAACCTTAAAATATGAAAAATTTACCCTTTAAGTTTGCAATATTACTACCTAAGGCAGGCATAAAATTGCTTTAAACAATCTTAAAAAATTAAATTATTCGACCTTCTAATGCCTTCAAAGACAGTTATAGTGTGGGGTGGAATCGACGGACACACCTGTCCTGAATTGATTCAGGAGGTAATATAGCAAAACTAGCTAATACATTTTTTAGTTAAATTTTACTCTATTACTTAATGATTTTACGATATCTTGGTGAATTTTATTGCAAATCATCATTATTACATAGTTTTTATTAAACTAATGAATTTCTGATCTCGTTTAATTTGATTTACATTAAAATAAGTGTGTTGTAAATAATATAAAATAGATATAGTTTAAAATGAATAACAAAATGCGATTTTTATTGTCTTTGAGTGTATTTTATATATAGAAAGATTTAATTGTTAATTTTCGTGATACTAAAACCGCAATTCCCGAGGCCTTGCGGGTTAGCCTATACAATTTTATTAAGGACCTATGTACGTAGTTAAGGAGTACCGAAAAAACTAGGAAACCAATATCACAAATTCTTAAAAACATAATATACAGTGAGTGTCATAAGTTTTGTTATACATGAAAAAATAAGCTTTTTATCATGCTTTTTGTATTTTACATACACATACACAACAATTACATAGTTATTTATATCAATCCATATTTTTTAGTCGATCTTACTTAACCAAAGTGATGATTTAAATTTACAATTTTTATGTAAAGCGTGGTTGAGATGAGAAAATAGTGTCACGAGCGGGACTCGATCCCAAGAGCCGAAGGTTGTTGTCAGGACGAAAAAAGTGTACTGTATGTTATCTGTTCTGTTTATGTATGCCAGGAATAAATAAATCATAAGCGTTAATTAATTGAGTGTTTATTTACTTTTTAACAATTCGAACATTCCATTATAAAGATATTTTTGGCAAAATATCAGATGCTGGGTTTTTTGTATACATAATATACATTTTACATGTTGTACAAAAAATTCAATGGCTATCCTGGCCTGCAGGTCTTGAGTCTTGGTAGATCTGTATCGTTACACAATCGACAATTGAAATTTAGCACGTTTTTCTTCATATTACGATATGAGAGATCTTGCTGCATTCTGTTCTCCTGGTAGAACATCTGAATGTTACATAATGGAGGCAAAGTTAATTTAGCCTTTTTCCAAGACAATTCTGATTTGAGAGCTCTTGCTGCATTCTGTTCTCCTGGTATAAAATCTGAAATGTTCCATAATGGAGGCAAAGTGAAATTTATCTTTTTTGTCCGGAAATATTTCGATTCAAAGAGCTCTTCCTGCATTCTCTTCTCCTGGTAGGACACGTGAAATGTTACATAATGGAGGCAAAGTTAAATTTATCTTTTTTGTCCGGAAATATTTTGATTCAAAGAGCTCTTCCTGCATTCTCTTCTCCGTGGCACGATAAAGAAAATGTTTTTCTGAAACCTACATCACACCAGTCCGCATCTCACGATTTCTAAATAAATATCGATTAACGGTCACTAATCACCACACACTTGAAATTGTTCTTTATTTTTCTTTAACTATTGCAATTTGAGAGCTCTTGTTCTTCTGTTCTCCTGGCAGAACATCTGAAATGTTACATAATGGAGGCAACGTGAAATTTATCTTTTTTCTGTCTGGAAATATTTCGATTTAAGGAGCTCTTGCTGCATTCTGTTCTCCTGGTAGAATGTTTGAAATGTTGCACAATGGGGAAAACTTGAAATTTAGCCTTTTTTAGGACAATTTTGATTTGGGAGCTCTTGCTGCATTTTGTTTTTTCCTGATAGAACATTTGAGATGTTACACAATTGAGACAACTTGAAAATTATTTTTTCTGCCTGGAAATATTTCGATTTAAGGAGCTCTTGCCGTCCTCTGTTATCCTGCTAGTAGATTTGTCGAATTACACAATGTTGACAACTTGAAATTGTTCTTTATTTTTTCTTTAACTATTGCAATTTGAGAGCTCTTGTTCTTCTGTTCTCCTGGCAGAACATCTCAAATGTTACATAATGGAGGCAAAGTGAATTTAGCCGTTTTTTCTTTATTTTTTGATTTGGGAGCTCTTGCTGCATTCTGTTCTCCCGGTATAAAAGCTGAAATGTTCCATAATGGAGGCAACGTGAAATTTATCTTTTCTGTCTGGAAATATTTCGATTTAAGGAGCTCTTGCTGCATTCTGTTCTCCTGGTAGAACATTTGAAATGTTGCACAATGGGGACAACTTCAAATTTAGCCTTTTTTAAGGACAATTTTGATTTGGGAGCTCTTGCTGTATTATGTTTTTTCCTGATAGAACATTTGAGATGTTACACAATTTAGACAACTTGAAATTTTTCTTTTCTGTCTGAAAATATTTTTATTTTGCTAGATTATATTCTCCTGGTAGAAGAGCTTAGAGTTACACAATGAAGAAAAATTGAAATTTTGCCTTTTTTCTTTAAATATTTTGATTTGACATCCCTTGCAGTATTCTATTTTCCCGTTACAACATCTGAAATGTTCGAACATGTCCAAAAAAATCTGATTTTAGATTGAAATCACAAAAATGATATCTCAGGAAAGAAACAGGATAGAAACCTCGTTCTAGTGGCACTGGAGTACGTAAAATTTAGTAAATCCATCATGTCACTAGTGACATTTAATCCCGTAACACCCGGTATGTCATGAATAAAATGATCCTGTTTATGAATTGAGAGTTTATTTTATTTTCAGCTATTCTAATTTTCCATTATTAAGTCATATTTGAAAAAAAGGTTAGAAGTATCAAAACTATTGGCTTTTTTTAAATATATTATGTAATTATTCTTTTTGTGTAGGGTTTTGTTAAAATTGGTATTGGTTATTAAAGCATAAACGGTTTAATATTATGTAATATTTATTATATATTTTATGTATGTACAAAGAATTCAATGGTTATGATTGGTGTTATTAAACACGCAATGTCTGCGTGCATTGCGGGCTAGCCTATAAGTTATAGTAAGGCGCTAGTTTACGTCGCAATCCTTTTATATACTTGTTTCTTTTTGCTTTCCTGGTTGTTCCATACAGTTCGATTTCTTCCATATACGGACAATAATCCTCCAGGAGGGTAACTCAATGAGGCTAAATTTAAATTCAGAAGATCTTATGCGTCATAGCCTACTTCTGGTCGGTTTGCCTGTGTAATCGGCCGTCTTCTTCACGGGCGAAAGGTCATCCCTGTGACTACTCTCAGGTGTCGAGGACTGACCTTCACTCCGAGGAGGTTCAATTCCCCCTCGACCCCATCGGAAACAATCCAAACATCCTCGGAATGCATGTACTAAATGGCCGAATACGTGATGCCACTTCTGGCATTATACGAAGTCGAGTTCTTCTTTTATTTCTTATTCTTTTTCTTTTATAACATGGAATTTCTTTAATGAACCCTTATGCTGTCCGACCGTCGAGTGGGTAACAAATCAAAATTTTCTGAACGGCCTAATAGCCTTTTCGCACATAATTATTTGAAAAAAATTATAAATTTTAATTAGAATAATTAGAGGTTTGGTCAAAGGGATAAAGTTTTTCATTTTATGATTTTTTACTAGTTTCTTAGAGTGCTTTTGTCCAAAGTTGATGGCTTAACGTAATCAATTTTATAGCGAAAATACCACGGAAATTTAAAATAAATGGTCCAGTGGAAGAACAGAATTCTCGTTTAATCAGACAAGTTTTTGCACAGAGATACTGTCGATTTTTGGCCAGTTTGAAAAATTGTTTGTCTAAAAAGTCGCAGCGAAATTATGCGGACCCGGTTAAATTGAATCGGCAGAATGAGGTACAATTTGGCCCATTCGACCGGAGACGTTTCTACGATGAGATTCACCGTTTACCGGTGACACGGCGAGACCGCGCGGACGCATTGGAAAAGAACCACCGATCTGAGTAGTCGAAAGAACAAGGATTTGGGATAGGAGATAGTTCCCTTTGTTATTTTTTTACCCAGGACGAACCGGAAGTCAGATTTGTACAAGCATGCCGAGCGTTTCCTGCCTGAGTCATCTCCGTCCGGCAAAGGATATTTACTCTACTACAAGCCCATTAAAAAATAATTATATATTCAAGGAAATAAACCGGAAAACTTCAAATTTAGCCTTTTTTAAGGACAATTTTGATTTGGGAGCTCTTGCTGTATTATGTTTTTTCCTGATAGAACATTTGAGATGTTACACAATTTAGACAACTTGAAATTTTTCTTTTCTGCCTGGAAATATTTCGATTTAAGGAGCTGTTGCCGTCCTCTGTTATCCTGCTAGTAGATTTGTCGAATTACACAATGTTGACAACTTGAAATTGTTCTTTATTTTTTTCTTTAACTATTGCAATTTGAGAGCTCTTGTTCTTCTGTTCTCCTGGCAGAACATCTCAAATGTTACATAATGGAAGCAAAATGAATTTAGCCGTTTTTTCTTTATTTTTTGATTTTGGAGCTCTTGTTGTATTCTGTTCTCCTGGCAGAACATTTGAAATGTTGCACAATGGGGAAAACTTGCAATTTAACCTTTTTTAGGACAATTTTGATTTAGGAGCGCTTGCTGCATTCTGTTCTCCTGGTAGAACATCTGAAATGTTACATAATGGAGGCAACGTGAAATTTATCTTTTCTGTCTGGAAA